TTTTCCCCCCTTTGCTTGCTTTAAAAATTGGCTAAATAAATCGTCCGAAGAAATTATCTTAATTAACCTAGAGCTAATTCCCTAATTAATAAATGCACTTAATAATCGGAAATAGCGTGGTGGAATTTTTCTTGAGTTCCCCATGCTCCAATGCATTAACAAGATTTTTAGTGGAATTTTCAGAGCCTTGGAAATAATTTTAACCAATTAAAAATGAGCAAGCGCAATATTTTAATCCCAGGAAAATCCTTTTTCTCTTTTTCTTTTCTTTTCCCTCCTTTTTCTTTGTTGGGCCGTCGGCCCATCCCTCTCCCGCGGCCCCTCCTCCTTGTGGGCCGGCCCAAGCCGCCCCTCCCTCCTCTCTCGGGACGCCGACAGGTGGGCCCCACCTGTCGGTCGTCTCCCACCTCCGGCCGCTGGAGCCGAAGCTCCAACCGCTGCCGCCGAAACCGCCGCGCCGCCGTCTTCTTCGTTCCTCCCGCGTCCACGTCGCGCCTCCACTCCGCGCCCGCACCTCGCGCCCACGTCGCCGCCCTCTCCCCGCATCTCCCGCGCGCGCGCGCCCGCAAGTGGTGGGGGATTTGAAATCCCCAACGCCCTCTCTCTCTCTCCTCCACCTCTCCACGTTGCCGGCCAAATAGGGGCCATCCCCGGCCGTTTCCGCCCCTCCCTCGCCCATAAAAACCCTCCCCTGAGTCCCCTCCCTCGTTTCCCCCATTTGCCGTCCTCTCCCACGCCCCCTACCGCGCCCACGCCGTCACACCCGAGCTCCGCCGCTTGCCGCCGCCTTCGGCCGCGAGCCGCCGCCGCTAGAGTCGCCGCCGCGCCAAACCGCCGCCGCCGTTAGCTTCGCCGCCGCAAGAGCTTTCCCGGCCGCCGCCTCGCGTCGCCGGAATCCCACCGGAGCACCTCTCCCCTCGTGAGCCGGTGAGTTTTTCCCTCCCCTCCATCTCCGGCCGGCAATTCAAGCCGCCGTGGTCGTCGTCTCCTCTCCTAACGCCTCTCCATCTTCTCCTAGGGTGTCGCCGCCGCCCGTCCGTGCCTCCGCATCACCGGTCGCCGCCGCCGCTTTCTTCCTTCGCGCCGGCCGCCGTGCTCGAAGGTGAGGAATCCCCTCTCCTCCTTCCTTTCCTCTCTCTCCCATGAGCGCCGCCGCCCTCCGCGCGTGCGCCATCGTCTTCGGCCGCCGCCGCCGCCTTCGCGCCGGTCGCCGCCGTCTCCCGCACCGCCGGTCACCGCCGGTGACCACGCGTGCCGCCGCCGCCGCCCCATGGCTGGCCGGCCGGCTTGAGCCGTGCCGAGCTGCCAGCCACCCACTCCCTCCCCCTTGAGCCACTGCCCAGTGGGCCCGCTTGCCAGCCGCCCCCTCTCCCTCTCTTAGTGCCGCTGACCAGTGGGGCCCGCCTGTCGGCGCCCGCCCCCCTTCCGCTGACGTCAGCCCTGGGCTTTATTGCGCAATAAATTGATTAAGGACTTTTCTTTATTAGTAAAAACACAGTTTATCTTCTAAAATTCATAAGTAATTCATCCGAGCTCCGTTTAAGTCCATTCAAGTCTCAGTAAATCAAGAAAAATGCAAAGAATCCATTAAAAATAGTTTTGTTTCCTGCTTCAGTAGTCTTATAGCCTGTTTTGCTTGTGTGCTTTGTTTGTCGCGTAGATTTCGGCCGTTTCGTCGATCCGCAGTTCCTCGAAGACGTTGCTGAGGTCTCATCAGTTCGAGAGCAAGGCAAGTCATGCAATACGTTTGATCATATTGTACCCAAATTACAAATATCCCGCATTTCTATTAAATGTTGCATTCTTTTACAATATCATGTGGGATGGGTCCGACTACTCAGCCATTTATTGTTTACCATATGCCATTGATAACCTGGGTATCAAAATGACTAGATGTTGGTTTAGGAAATGCTTAGCCATGCTTAGTTCAACTAGCACACAAATGGGGATCACCTTATTACATAGACTTTGTCTATTGGCATAGCTTTAGATTGGTGCCACCGCAATGGTGTTAGTTAATTAAAATACATTGAATGGTGGGTTGTGAGTGCATGGTTTTGCTGGTCGCACCCATGGCAATTAAGGACCGGTTCACGGGAAACCCTGGGAGACTTACCGTGCTTACCACAAGCGGGAGTGGGTAACTGCTTGATCTGAAGTATAGCTCGACCCTTTCCTAGGCACCGGTGGCGAGGGTGGGCGTGATGGAGTTGGGTCGGCCGGGGTGTCCGGTTGTCCAGCTGCCGGATTCACCGCGGCGCAAGAGGGGACCGCCCACTGCCTTTTGAGGGGTGGGGGTGAAACCTTAGCGTGGTGTGGATGGTTAGGGGAGGGTTATGTGGAGGGTCTTGTCACGATTTCCCCCTTTGCAGTATCATGGTGATGCTTCGGGGCATGGCGACATGTGTGGAATCGTGTCTTGTGGGTACAGTTGTACACCTCTGGCCAGAGTAAAACTATTCGAATAGCCGTGCCCGCGGTTATGGGCGATCCACCAGATTCACCGTGATTAGTCTCACCCCTAGTTTAGCTTAATGAACTGGTGTAGTTCAGGTGGTTGGTTGGGCCTGTTGCAACATGGTGTAGCGTTGGACAGTGATTGGTTAATATTGATTAATTACTACAACTGTTTTACTGCTTTCAACTACTGCTTTTAAATGCTAGCTTTATGCAAAAGAACCTCTAGCCTCCTGTGGTTATATCCTGCATCATACCTCCTCTTCCGGTATGACTTGCTGAGTACAGTGGGTAGTACTCAGTCTTGCTCTCTTTTCCCCCACACCAGAGTTGAAGTTCTTCTCAGTTGGAGCCGTCTCAGAGAGGTTGGTTTCGTTGCTGCCGTCAAGGTTTGCCTGTGGAGTGGAGTCGCCCGCTGCTGAAGTCAAGCTTCCCGGTTTAGCTCGCTTTTATCTTTTCCGCTGCATTTGTAATCTTTTCTATTTTTGTAAGGCGTGGATCTGTATGTCAACAATTGTCGTTTGTGTACCCTGGCTGGTCCTGGACAGGGATTTAATGCACATTCAGCTTAGAAATTCTGGCTCGAGAATTTCTGGGCGTGACACGTCGCGCCCGCTCCGCCCCGGCCGCCACGCACGCTGCCCACCGCCGGCCTCCCTCACCGAAGAAGAGCAGAGAGAAGTGAGAAGAAAAGAAGAGGAGAAGAAAAGAGGAGAGGACGGCTGACATGTGGGCCCCACATATTTTTTAAATTTTTCTTTGCTGACTAGGATGCCACATCAGCGAAACCACCCATATATGTGTTAACAACCAAATTTGGTAATATCGGCATCGGGAAAGAAGATTAGATCGAAGCAAAGTCGGAGGCGGAGATCGGGTTCGGAAACAGAGCAGGAATCGGCTAGAGTCCAGATCAGCTACGATTAGGATCGGCTGGGTCTGAGTCGGACTAGGTAAGCTGATGCAGCCGATTCCGGCAATGCGACTTGATGTATGATATCGGGTTGAGTTGAGGCACTTCAAGGTGATTGCCGCACATGGATAGAGTCCTGAGAAGGCAATTGTATCTATTAATTAGGATGTTTTATGTAATTTCTTTAGAGATACGCTTGGGCAAAAGTCTACCGTAAAGACTTATGGTATCTTAGAGTTTGTTAGAGATATTAGTCGTGTCCGTTATGGACATATATTGTAATTCTCGGGTATAAATAGACCCGAGCCCTATGTAACTTTTAACACACACGTTCAATACAATTTCGGCACATCGCCACTCTTTTTGCTTTAGTTTTGTTTCGACGAGTTCTTACTTTCGGGTTGAGCTGCATCGGTTTCAATCTTCAACAAGAGGTAAAACTTATTATGACGGCTTGTATTCTCGGGATTAGGGCTTCCATCTTTATGACACTCTAATCTTGTTTATGTAATTCGTTGAGTTATCACATATCTTACATAATCTCTGGCAATATTGTTATCTAACCTACAATCGGCTAACATTTGTTAGTAGAGGGCAGCCGATTAGGTTAGATTTCGACGTTAGTTTAGATTATATAAGATATCTACCACTCTATGAAACTTCTAGTGGCTTGATTGTCTAGATATTGTTCTTCTTTTCATACTTAATGCTGCATAAGTTTAGTTTGATCTATTAAGTCGTGCTTAGAATATTAATCTCTAGCCTGCCTTTTGGTTGCCGATTAAGGTAGCATCGGAGTTTCAGCCGATCTTATCTGATTTAACTATATTTGCTCCATATGCTTCATTGACATGTTAAATCCGCCCTTTATGTCAAGATATTGCTGTATCTAAGTATATTAAGCCTTTGTTTGATACATTATTCCTGTTTTAATATCCTGATATAGAGTAGCATCGGAGTATTAGCCGATACATGCCAGATCTATCTGATTGGCTATGCTATAAACATATATAATCATGTTATTAATATATATTTCGATCTAAGTGATTTATACTGTCTCGGCATGGCGACCGATCTATCCCAATCACTTGATTTAAGTATATATCGATTTAAGGAGTATATGTTGTTAATATCTACAGCCGATCGAGTAGATTTAGTTCCTTCTTATTTATTCATGAATGACGATCGATTCACATATGACATCGGCCCAAAGATAAATGATATGTCATCGGCACCTAGCCGATCGATTATCATTTATAGATTTAACCACGGTTTCTTTACTCCTATTTCTTGTTGATTACATGATCAAATCGACTGGCACGCTCATACATTCGAATGCGAGCTTTGGACCTGCACCGGAGTTAAGCAGATCTCCCAGGCCTCGTGTTTTCTGTCAACAATATGCTGCCATGGGACCTCTTTTGAACGGTTTGAGTGAGTTTAGGGGTACACATTAATTTCTGGTTTTGTGGTTAAAGGACCTCAGAAAATCTCGCTGTCAAGTTGAGAGACCTCCGGTGAACTTATTCCTAACCCAAACGATATAGCCAATTATCCAAGATCAAGGGCCCAATTACTCGTAACTGGACTTAATGGCCCAGGCCGGGCTGCAAATGCAAAGCCTAATAGTGGTGAAACAAGGAGAGGAGAGCGTTTTGGGTTCAGGCCCGCGAAGCAGCAGGTATCTGCCGTGAGCATATGGCAGCGGAGGGATCAGAGCTTGGCTCCCCACCGGCGGCGGCGGCGCCGCCTCCCAAGCGTCGGAAGATCGAGCCGTCGCGGAGGTACCGATTCTATCTTGTTCACGGCTTCTTGCGAGCCTTTTATAATTAGGTTTGATCTGGTGATTCCTGCTTCGAACCATCCCCATCCAATTAGGTGGATATATTACATTATTACGCCTGATTTCTAGCGATTGCGCTGCGCCATCTTTCTAGTTTCGAGCAGATTGGAAAGGGAGGTGTGGATGTTGGTTAGCGGGGTGGGGCGATCCAGTGGTGGGGGATGACTACAAGTGTAGGGTTCTTTTAGGCAAGATTCCGGACTAGGTGATCTTGTGAGCATCTCTATACGTTAGGTTTTGGTGTTCTTATAAAGGGGCTTTGGAATGTGGCGTTGTGCGTTTATCTATATTTCGGCAAAAGCCTCGATATTCCCACGGAACCTTGTTGATTGAGGCGAATCTCTCGAGGCCTTTTGCATTTCTGCCCTAGACAGATAATTTTCAGCCAATATTCTGGTCTTGTCCTGCAATGACATCAACCGGAACTCAATTGGGGACTGGATAATTGGACAGACATGAGGAATACCAACTCATCAATTTCATTTTCTAAGGAATTCTTTCTGCCGTAACACTCATGGTTCAGGCACGGTGAACGCTGATCCTGAAGAATCTACTATGTTGTGCGCATACTGCAGAATGGAAAATTTCTGCCTTGCTTCCCCCGAATGAATCATTATCCTGTTGGTCCAGTTCTAACCATATGGACTGCAGAGTACAGAATGCATTGTTTCACATAAAGAGAAAGACCAAACCTATTCAATTTTGTGTTTGATACTTGATAGATCCTTTGCAGATAGTTTCGATAGGCTTGTGCTTTGCCATTTGTTGTTTGCAGCATTAAAACCATCAATCAAAATTAGCTACACTGTCCGCTAACTTTACATTGGTGTCTACATCGGATTGTTAGTGTTAGGTTTTGTGGCATTAATTGACAGCCTGAATGGGCTAGAAGGACATATTTGCCTGAGTTGTGAATAACACCAGCAATTTACTGGCTGATAATTTGCAGTTACAGTAACAAGCACAACGTATTTCATTTTCCTATTAAAAACAGGATATTCTACTCTAAATGATTCTTTTTCTTGAACCACGTTTTTCTGATTAGTACTATATAATTTGGCTCAAACTATTTTTTGCTAATCAATAATTTACCCTGTGATTCGAAACACAGGGACAGACCTTCTCAAGTTGCTCTGGACAGGGACAAGGACAAGGTGGCAGCATCATCCAGTTCATTGGTATGCCCTGACATGTCAATTTGCAATTGATGCCTTCTCACCTGTTCTTGATTTTCTCTAACATACTTTCTTGACGTGAACTCTGCTTTTGCAGGTTTCAGGTACACCACCGTTGAGAGTGGATCTCAACAAAGTTAGAGAGGCAAAGAGATATGCTGTCTTTCAAGCACAGCATGAGGGGTGCCTTGGAAGCTATAAAAGTTTTGATTCCTCGTTTGGTAATTATCTTGTCCCCGTCATCCCAAGCAATGACTTCTTTGTGCAAATTACAAATAAATGATTGGCAATAAACAAAGTGCAATTCTACGCCGTGAATCATGAGGATGTAGTTTCTGTTCTGTCATGTTATATGTGGAAATTGTGGTACTAATATTTCAAACTAATTCTAACCAACCAGATAACAGTTGAAAGTTCAGAAAACCAAACTGCATGCTTTCTTTTACTTGTTGTAAATACCAAAACCTTCTAATTTCTTAGTAAAAGGAACTATCTAGATTGGTGAAAACTGAAAAGGGTTTGTATTGTGGAAGCATTTCTTAGTGTATATCTGGACCTTTCCCTATCTTTCTTTTATTTTTGGGTGGGAATTTTATCAGCTTCATATCCTTCCAATCCCATGCCTCCAATGGAATGTATATCTGGACGGCAATCATTTTATTCTTGTACTCTTCCATGGCCTAAACACCTTCTCAATTATTGATGGGGCTCTTTCTGACATTAGTTCTCTCCTCTGGCCCTCTAGGCTCCCAGCAAATCAAATATCTGTAGTACTGAAGAATTTTGGCAACCAAGTATATCCATGCGTGCAATGCCCCCGGTGATACCGTACTGATTATTTGTCGGTCAACTAACTTGTTGAAGCGCTAGCAGTTAAGGTGTCCAAGCTGTACTAACATGCTTACTTCTCATATACTATCTAGCAGTTAAGGCTTAGCTTTCACTGCACTCGTTTTCCACAAATAATCTCCATCGTTACATTATAAAACTCAAGCTTATCTGATTAAAAGATATGATCAGCAAACCAGTTGAGCCTATGACTAATGGCTTTAGGGCCTATATCACGTTTTGCGTGAGAGTGATTGTGCGAAAGCTGTTTCTGACATTGACTAATCAAATCGTGGAAGGTACCCATAGATATGCGCCTTTCAACTCTTCGTCCTTGTTAGCTTATCGACAGTAACCAAAATTTTAATCTTCACACTTAATTTTAGAGTTATTTAATCGTAACACATTTCGATATTTTTAAGTATTAACTTTTAAACCACTAAGAACATAGATATAGTGTTTTACCTGTAATTTATCTAAAACTGTTTTTCGTTGCTTTGTTCACTGCTTTTTGTTGCCTTTGTTGTTAAATATAATAATTTTTAACTATAAATTTAGATATATATTTGTTTAGATTCGTAATTAAAAGTTGTTATATTATAGGATGGGGATAGATGTTTTATTAGCAGTAGCTAAAACGATCGTGAGTTTTGGGTGTGCGGCGACCCATCCGAGCGTCGGCCACGACGATACGTAGTGGGCCGGATGGATGGATCGCTCGCTCGCTACAGTCGTGAATTATCGACGCCCACGCCCAAGCGCGAGGGAAGATATGTGCTCAGAGTCGCTGAGCACGCATCTCCAGGCAGCCGGCCGTTGCTTCATCGACACGTATACTTCTGAGCTCATGGTCACGTCATCGGTACTGCAGGTGGGCCCCAACGTGCACGTGACCCCCGTATCATAATCACGTCCTGCCACCCTTTTAACTAATCACTCCCAGCCTTTTGCTGATCGGTGGGCCTAGTTGCCCGAGTTCTGACAAAGTAATCAGTTGGACATTTGGAACTGATTACTCCTACTACTCTAGTGAAAATTAGGGAATTTGACGGGAACACCCTTCTTGGCTCTCCTAAATGCACGGCCGGCAGGTGCCATCTGCTGGTCCCTGGCTGTCATGCTCGTTCGTTCGTTAATCTTGTGAAGCTTTTGATACATAAACCCCTCACGAAATCTCCATATTACAGGCAGCAGCACGCAGAGCCACGAAACGAATCCAGACAAAGCCCGCGTTGGGGCATCTGCAATCTGAGCCCTACGGTTACAGAAAGGACAAATCAGGGCCGTTCATACGTAAGGGCATATCCGTAAATAACGTCAAACTCGAGGGCGATTTATTCGCGAGCAAAAACGCCCAACTCGTGGCTCTCGTCCCATTCCCACGCTTGCGCAAGCGGAAGAAAAGAGTAGAGGAGAGAGACTGAGGGAGGGAGGCAGGAGGAAGGAGGAGGAGGAGGACGCTGCAGTGGTGGGTGGCGTAGCTCCCGATCCGGGAAGCCGACCCGGTCTGGGGGATTTGCTCCTGGCGCGCGCTCGATCGAGAGGGAGGCCAGGGTTGGGTTGGGGGGAGCGTGAAGAAGCGCGCGCGCGGCTATGGGGAAGGGGACGGTAGTGGGGACGGCGGTGGTGGTGTGCGCTGCAGCGGCCGCGGCGGTTGGGGTGGCGGTGGTGGTGTCGCGGAGGAGGAGGAGCAAGCGGGAGGCGGAGGAGGAGCGGCGGAGGAGGGCCGCCGCTGTGATCGAGGAGGTGGAGCAGAGGTTCTCGACGCCCACGGCGCTGCTGCGCGGCATCGCGGACGCCATGGTGGAGGAGATGGAGCGCGGCCTCCGCGCCGACCCTCACGCCCCGCTCAAGATGCTCATCAGCTACGTCGACAACCTCCCCACCGGGTAGGCCTCCCTCCGCTCCGCTTGTGCGATTTTTATGATTTCTGGGGTGTACGTGACACGAGAAAGCTTGGGAATAGTTGTTACTGTGTTCGCGAGGGGTGTTTCTCTTCGGGGGCGAATCGGTTGGAAATCCCTAGCGGCTTAGCGCTTGCTTAGGTTCGGATTTGGCATAAATGTGGCATTGATCTTCGGTTGTTGAGATGGAGGTGCGACATATTGATATCAAGAGCACTGTGCCTTGACACGGCCTTTTAGCTCTTTTCTTATTGATCACGGAAGAATGATGAGACCTATTCGTTTCCTATGGAATTTTGATCTACTGAGTGGAGGTTTCTCACGGTGGTAGCAGAAAGTGGCCACCAGGATAGACTTGACATAATTTTTTTTTCGCAGTGAAGACTCCAGACAGAATTATAAAATGAACAATTAGGTTCCGGTCACTTTTGACAACTATATATATCTGTGTGTCCATTTTGTAATTTGTGCCTTCATGCTGGGCTTACGATCAGTCGATCACAGAACAATCGTTCTTTTTTTTGTACCATGTGAATTTTGTAGGAAATGTCATGAAAGGTTTATGAATAAGTTTAGAGAAAGAAATGGTCAAGGACTCGAGGCTTAAAAGTTTCAGTGAGTTTGACAGTTTATTATATGTATCCATAGGCGTATGGAAAATGAAAAATGTTGAGCCTATCACTTCATGAAATCTTCTTTTATGCTTCCTCTGATTTGCATGCCACTTGTGCAGGGATGAGCACGGACTGTTCTATGCTCTCGATCTTGGGGGCACCAATTTCCGTGTTATACGTGTTCAGCTTGGAGGAAGGGAAAAGCGTGTTGTTAGTCAACAGTACGAAGAGGTTGCCATTCCACCTCACCTGATGGTTGGGACTTCTATGGTCAGTGGCTTATTCCTTTCAACTGTTATGTTTCAATTCTCCTGTGTTTGCACAATTTCTTTCATGGTTACTCAAATTTCAGAAATATGAGTACAGGAACTGTTTGACTTCATTGCGGCTGAGTTGGAAAGTTTTGTCAAGACCGAGGGAGAGGATTTCCACTTGCCAGAGGGCAGGCAGAGAGAGTTAGGCTTCACCTTTTCTTTCCCAGTGCACCAAACATCAATATCATCAGGCACTCTTATTAAGTGGACAAAGGGATTTTCCATCAATGGCACGGTAAAATTCGAATGGCCTTAGTATAAATTTCATGGCTAAATGATCTAGGAATTATTTATTACCTTGACGATCAGTCTTGATTAGAAACCACGTTGTGTCAGCAAACGAATTCTCACTAGCTGTGTCACTTTTGACTTTTGGGTTCCCTGCATTGACCAAGTGACCAGCCGTTGCCCTTCATTTTCCTTTCAGAATATTTGGACTGATGTTTGGTTATCCATAAATTAACATGTTTGGTAAAGTTATTCTTAGATGTGATATAAACGGGACATGGTGGCATATGTCCCCATTTATCCAATTCACAAGTATCTTATAATTGCTTCTAAATCCTGCGGCGATTGTGAATGCAGATGTTACAATTAGAGCTGTGTTTGCTATACAACACTTGTAACCATAAAAAAATGTATTTGCTTATCCTGCACTTCTTAAATTTGAACCTCCAAGAATGAAGCACTCTAGTCATATTTCTGTTTCCTACTTTTAATGTGGCAATTTCTAGCCTCTCAAGACAAATGTGGCATCAACACTGCAATATCTTTTTTAATTTTATAATGTTATGCCCATAATTTTGATGTATAGACTAATGATTTCTGTGAACTCAGGTGGGGGAAGATGTTGTGGCTGAATTGAGCAGGGCTATGGAAAGGCAAGGGCTTGATATGAAAGTTACAGCTCTTGTAAGTAAATTCTTGGTTCATGACTCTGTTAAAATTATTTATCATCTGAAACTTTCCCATGCCTGCTACTGCTATATGCTGATGGGTAAATACATTGGCATTCCTATGAAAATGCTGACTTTGGAGTTTTTCAATGTTCTATGAGTTTGGATGTTTACTAGTATATCACCAGACTGTGTCATGTAAATTGACAACTAATATTTTGCCCAGGTTAATGACACTGTAGGCACATTGGCTGGCGGAAGATATGTTGATAATGACGTTGCTGCTGCTGTAATATTAGGCACTGGCACAAACGCAGCCTACGTGGAGCATGCAAATGCAATTCCAAAATGGACTGGATTACTACCTAGATCAGGAAATATGGTTAGTGACTGATTTCGTTATACTTGTAGCATTAAATGTCTTTGAACCTTGTATAAATGTATGTATCCACTTCAACTTCTGCACTGGATGATTGTCACATCAATTAATATTATAACATTTGGATCTTTGGTATGATGAAGGTGATTAACATGGAATGGGGAAACTTCAAGTCAGAAAGGCTTCCTCGTTCAGATTACGATAATGCCTTGGACTTTGAAAGTTTAAACCCAGGCGAGCAGGTATTGTTTATTTTATCTTTTTATTTTCCAACTATATGTGGGCATGAAAGAATTTCGGTCTTCTTTTCCTCAGATATATGAAAAGATGATTTCCGGCATGTATCTTGGAGAGATTGTGCGCAGAATCTTGCTTAAGCTTGCTCATGATGCTTCCTTGTTTGGAGATGTTGTTCCAACAAAGCTGGAGCAGCGCTTTATACTGAGGTGCACTTCTATGTCCCCTATGTTGATCATCTAAGTATCTAGCTTTTCATATATGCAGCACAGAACTATCAAAATAAGATAAAATTTCAACATAGACTGTATGGTGTGCATTATGCGTTCCTTGATCATGGTAGCACAGAACTATCAAAATAAGATAAATTCATGTAACTATGTAGAAAATTTCTTAACGGAACTCCAATTGTGGTATTGCAGGACGCCGGACATGTCAGCGATGCATCATGATACCTCACATGATCTGAAACACCTGGGAGCTAAGCTGAAGGATATCCTGGGGGTATGATAATACATATCTTGAAAATAGGATACTATCAAATCTAATTTTCAAGAACCATTGATTACTTACGATATGCCTGAACTTATGTTTAGGTCGCTGATACTTCCCTGGAAGCACGATACATCACCCTTCATGTCTGCGACCTCGTTGCAGAGAGAGGTGCACGCTTAGCTGCTGCTGGTATATATGGCATTCTAAAGAAGCTGGGCAGGGACAGAGTGCCAAGTGACGGTAGTCAAAAGCAGAGGACTGTCATTGCTCTGGATGGTGGTCTCTATGAGCATTACAAGAAGTTCAGAACCTGCCTAGAAGCAACGCTTGCAGACCTGCTTGGAGAGGAGGCTGCCTCATCAGTTGTTGTCAAGTTGGCAAACGATGGCTCTGGCATCGGAGCTGCACTTCTTGCAGCATCTCACTCCCAGTATGCTAGCGTCGAGTAGTAACAGGAGCTCATGGGACTGAGCTCCCAGTGTAGCTTGTTTTCCTCCCATTTTCCCCGTTTCTTTCCAATGGGAGTTCGTTTCCCTCCTGCGATTCGCATCTCCTTTTGCTATTCTGCAGTCACATAAACGAGTGCCTGTGCAGCGGGATGTAGCTAGTATGGCGCCAAAGAGTTTGCAGTTATCACATGAACAAGCATTTGCAACTGCAGGGAAGTGAAAACGGGGGCTTGAATGATGCCGTTCTTTTCCTGCAAATTATTTTCCCCCTTTCCCTGTAAGTTTGTATTGTGATGCGATGTCGCAAACCAATCACAGCGGTTTCGCGTGTAGCCTTTTGTCATTCAGATTTCAGAATAAAGAGGGGGACATAATTTCACTTTTCGTATGTCAGTTTGAACTATGTATGTACTCTTACACACTGGTATCAAAGCTCAAATGATCTGATCAGCCGCGAGCAGCTAACAAAATAGTACTAAGAAGTGTACCATCAAGGTAAGGTAATAGAGTATGATCATCTTTTCTAGTACTGTCTAATATGGCGTTTATATTCATGCAGTGCAGTGCTGGCTCATAGACTAACCATTCCCTGCTCACATCAGTGTTTCCTAGTAGGTAAAGGTGCGGCAGTGCTCTGCTCCTTTCTTCAGACAATGGAATCGAAATCGCTCCTCTCGTCAGCGTCGTCGTCTGCTCCTTTGGCCTTCGCGGGCTGTTTCCGGCGGCTGCCTCGTTGCGGCAGCAACAGCGGCGCCACTTCGTACTCCTCCTGCCCGCTCTCCGCCTTGCATTTCTGGTGCGTCTGCTCGGAGCATTTGACCAGGATCTGCAGCACGTCCTTCATGGTTGGCCGTGACGCGGGCGTGGCCCCCGTGCACATCACGCCTAGCCTGAACACCACCTCGATCTCGTCGGAGTAACCCGCGTACCTGATGCACTGATCCGTAGCGTCGGGGATGCTCTCTCCCGATTGATAGTGGTGCCGCGCCCAGTCCGCCAGGGAACCGTGCTCGCCGCCGTCGTTGGCCGCCTTGCCCGTGGTAAGCTCCAGGAGCACCACCCCAAAGCTGTACACGTCCACCTTCTCATCAACCTTTCTCGTGTAACCACACTCTGAAAAGAGAGAGAGAGTAAGTCTCAGTGATAATAATACTCGAATTAATTAACTAGACATGTTCTGTATAGAATACGGCACAAAAGGAGAGTACAAAATTAACAGTGTCAAGCAGAGAGAGATCGTTACCGGGAGCCATGTAGCCGAACGAGCCTGCAACGGCGGACACGGTGTCGGGCGTGCCGGCCTGCGCCAGCATCCTGGCCAGCCCAAAGTCGGCGACCTTAGCCCGGAACTCGGAGTCGAGCAGGATGTTGCTCGTCTTGACGTCGCGGTGGACGATGGGCGGGGTGCACTCGTGGTGCATGTAGTACAGCCCCTGCGCGGCGCCGACGGCCACCCTGAGCCTCGTCGGCCAGTCCAAAGCGGGCGCGCCGCCCCGCGCGGACCGCGCCCTCGCCACAGCGGCCACCACGGGGCGCCCGTCGTTGATGGCGCGGCGCCCGTGGAGCCACCCGTCCAGGCTGCCGTTGTCCATGTAGTCGTACACCAGGAGCTTGGCCTCGTCGCCGGAGACGCAGCAGAGCAGCCTGACGATGTTGTTGTGCCGGACGTTGCCGAGGATGCGCGCCTCCGACTCGAACTCGCGCTCCAGCTTCTCCTCCACCTTCGCGGCGCCCGTCCGTATCTTCTTCACGGCCACGGCGCCGTCGCCGCCGGTGTACCGGTTGGTGTAGGCGACGCGGTACACGCTCCCCGAGCCGCCGCGGCCGACGAGGTTCTCCTCCGTTAGACCCCGGAGTATGGCCGCCTCGCTGAAGCCCAGATCGGTCTGGAAAGGCGTGATCTTCCAGTCCTCGCGCTGCGCCACGCGCTTCCTTCTTCTCCTGATGTCGCGGACGGCGAAGAAGGCCAACGCCACGATGACGAGGAGGAGCGCGGCCCCGGCTACGAGGAGACCGGCGCGGAGCCCTGGCGAGACGCCACCGGAGGAAGCGCTGCCTGGCGATCCGGCGTTGCAGGACCGCACGCCGGCGAGGTAGCTGGAGCCCAGGCCTGAGGTACAGAGGGTGGGGTTGTCAAGGAAGCTGCGGGCGTAGGCACCTATGGCGAACTTGGCCGGCACCTGGCCGCTGAGCTGGTTGGACGAGAGGTTGAGCGAGTTGAGATTCAGACTGGCAAGAGACGACGGTATGCCGCCGGAGAGCCTGTTCGACGACAGGTCAAGTGCGTTGAGCACCGGCATGGCGCCCAGCTCGGCCGGTATCTCGCCGGAGAGCTGGTTCTTGCTCAAATCAAGCTGAGTCAAGACTTTAAGCTTGGAAACGCTCTTCGGGATCCCGCCGGAGAGCTGGTTACCAGACAGGTTTAGTGTCTGCAGCACCGGCATGCCGTTGCCGAGACTCTCCGGGATCTCCCCGGAAAAATTGTTGTTCCCGGCGATGAACTTCTGAAGAGCAGCCGCCGCCGCGGGGATGCTACCACGAAATTGGTTGTTCTCCACGGTTAAGCTCGAAAGGTTGCTGTACATGGTGGAAGGCAGAGTCCCGGTGAGGCCATTATTCTGCAGCTGCACGAATTGGAGCTTTGTCGCCGTCCATAGCGCCTCTGGCACATCGCCGGACAGCTTGTTGTTGGGGAGAAACAGGGTCTGGAGCGTGGTGCAGCCGGCGAGCCTCTCCGGGATGGAGCCGTTCAAGAGGTTGTTCGCTGCGGTGAATATGTTGAGCTTGCCGCCGTCACACAGCCCCTCAGGAATCGGGCCGGTGAACTTGTTGAAATCAACCTCAAGATCCCACAAATCCGGTGACTTCTGCCCAAGCTCCGGTGGTAGAACGCCGGTGAGACTATTATTGAATAGGTGTATTTCCTTCAATGCCGGCAACCGACCGATGCTCGCCGGTATCTCACCGGAGAAGTTGTTAAAGTACAGGTGGATGACTTCAAGCTTCTGCAAGAGACCAAAGTCTTGAGGAATCGGTCCACCCAGCTTGGGATTCGCGGACAGGTCGATGAAAACCAAATTCACTGCGGCGAAAGCACCATCGGCGACGACGATGTCGCCGGTGAGCTTGTTCGCAAATAGAAACAGGCACTGCAGCTTCTTCAGGCTCCAGATCCCCGGAGGAATGCTTCCTGTCAAGTTGTTGACCGCCAGGTCGAGCGTCACCAAGTCCGGCATGTCGGCCACATAGGCTGGCATGTCGCCGACGAGCTGACACTTTCTCGCCCAGAGGGTTGTCAGCTTAGTCAGGTTCTTGAACGACTCCGGCAGCTGACCCGGTCCGAGCTTGTTCGTCGAGATCGTCAGCGTCGTAAGGCTCGTCAGGTCGCCGAGCTCTCCCGGGATTGTGCCGGTGAGGTTGTTGTTGTCCAGCATCAGCCACTCCAGCTTCTGCAATCGGGACAACGACTTGGGGATGGTGCCAGTGAAGTAGTTGCCGCTGAGGACTAGAGTTGTCAGGTTCTCCCCGAGGCCGACGCCGATGTCGGCGGGGAGCTCCCCGCCGAGGTAGTTCTGAGACAGGTTGAGGTACCGGAGAGAAACGCAGCGGTACACGCTCGTCGGGAACGTACCGTTGATGTTGTTGTTGTAGAGGTCGAGGTGCACGAGGCTGGAGAGGCCGCCGACGGCGTCCGACACGGGGCCGGACACGTTGGTGTTGGCGAGGGAGAGGTTCGTGACGCGCCCGGCGGTGTCGCATGTGACGTAGGGCCAGGAGCAGTGAGCCGCGGGCGCGGCCGTGTCGTTCCATCCCGCGAGCACGGCCGGGTCGCCCCACGCGCGCTTGATCTGGAGGAGCAGCCGCGCCTCGTTCGCCGCGGGCTGGGCCGCGCCGCGGTGCGGGATGAGGCAGCAAGGCAGCGCGAGCAGCAGGAAGAGGAGGTACACAGGGCCCGGTGCTTTTGCCATGGTTTCCATGGTGTGTTCTGCCCCCGCCGCAAGCCGCTGTGGACGCGGGAAGAAGTGGGGGGAGTTCGGTTTGAGAATGTTAAGCAAATGCGGCGGGAACGAGACCGTTATAAGCTCCTGCGTGCTTGCTTCGAAGCTTCATGTTGCTTACCGGAGCACATGATTGTTTTCTGTGGATTAGTAAGACTTAAGAGTGATTCAGACGGCATGGTTATTCGAGAAGACATCGAGAGTCCAGAATTCAGGAAAGGCCCAACTGGCAGCCTAATCTTTTCGCTTATACTTATACTTATCAGTCAAAATTTAAATTTTCGGTCTTAAATTTGAAGTTAATTTTGGTGTTTTTTATCCATATTTATTTTTCAACCTTTACTTTTAGATCGTTAAGAACATATATATAAAAGTTTTATTCATAAATTATTTTTCGTTTGTAAATATGGGTATGTGAGTTAGGTCTTCCCGACGCATGATTAACAGCATTTTTTCACCATTTTTTAAGTCGGAGCTTACTCAGGTCGTTAACTAACGACTCGTTTTTCCACCGAACTATCTTAAACTGTAGGAGTATACAGTTCGCTCCGGTGAAACACGGCGACTCTACAAGGCTGTCTGCAACCGTACGTGGGCTATTGGGGATTGGAGGTTTCAAGTTTCGCCGAAAGGCTCAGGTTCAAGTCGGCTGTCGACTTGGCAACGGGGAATCAAAATAGAAAGCGAAAAATGATGTTACTGTAGGTCAAAAACTTCCAGCTGGAACAGGAAAGCAACCAACCAACAAACGGACTACACACGTGTGGATGAACTGGTCAAGAGTCAAGATCCAGAACGTTAATTTACCGTTCCACAAATCCGTTTATAAACTACAGATGCCATATGTAACCGAGCTTTGCCCCGACACAGGAGCTTATAGTAGAGTATACAGATTTTATCATGCAAACAATACTGGTGATCGAATACTGCTCTACCAATAAAAATGGCACTCACTATTCTCTACTCCATTCGTCCAAAAAAAAAAAACTTAATTCCTGAATTTCCGTGTCTAACGTTTGATCGTTCGTCTTATTTTAAAAAATTATAAAAAAAATTAAAAAATAAGCCATGTATAAAGTTTTATTCATGTTTTATCATTTAACAATAATGAAAATTCTAATCATGCAAAAATTTTATATAAGACGGACGGTCAAACATCAGACACGGAAACCTAAAAATTAAGTTTTTTTAGAACGAAGGGAGTACTCACTAATCTGTATGTCCTAAGATATCAAGTTCATGTATAAAAGTTCTTTTATTTGGGACGGGGTGAGAGTATTTTGTGCATACAACGTCCGGCCATCCACTCCACCTTCCTGAGAGAGTTGAACGGAAGCGACTGGGAGTGTCCACATCGGTGATTAGCACTAACGGTTTCGGCGTTCCGCGCGGCCTGGTAAGCTCGAAAAGGACGTCCATATGAGCTGATCGTGCGCACCGCGCGTGTGATCGATCTCGAGAGTCGAGACTGGTCCGTAAAGAAAACCGAAAGAAAAAGATTCACTAGTGGGGCAACTGCAGGAAGGAAACCAAGCGGGAAAGCTCCACCCGGAGACCAGTGGACCGTTGACTGGTCAGCCGGGTCGCCACCGCGGACCGATGACTCGACGAGTTGCGTTACTCGCGTAGACTCCAATCCACACCGTTAACTATAGCTCGCGGCCTCGCGCCCACAGGATCGGTCCGAGAGACCGAGAGGTCCGCTCCTCACTAGCCGGTTTGCCTTTATGCGTCCTCTCATCAGCCTGAGGCTGTTTTTATCCCTTCAAACTTCCAACTTTTATTAAATATTTGAACACATGCATATAGTATTAAATATGAAAAAAAACCAATTATACAGTTTGTATATAAATTGCGAGACGAATCTTTTAAGCCTAATTACATCATGATTTAATAATGTGGTGCTATAGTAAATATTTGCTAATGATGGATTAATTAGACTTAATAGATTCATCTCGCAGCTTACAGACGGAATCTGTAATTTATTTTGTTATTAGTCTATGTTTAGTACTTCAAACGTGTGTACGTATACATTATTTTTTTTCCAAAGCATCTAAACACGGCCTGAGTTATATAGAAAGACTAGCTACGTCACCGCTCACCACCGTGACGCATCCTTCCAAATTTAGGACGATTAGTACCTTTTCGAAATTTAGCAATATTAAAATTAAAAAAATGATAGTATAATAAAAGGCAGGTAAGACAAACTAAACTAGCATGGTGGCCCGCGCATATTGCGCGGCTAGCATCGTTTTATTTTTCTCATATAATATCTTAAATATTTCCACATTTTATTTATTAAAATACATAATTTTAAATTATGTAATAACTTGACAAAACTAACCAATATGTGATATTTATATGGTATTGTATATACGTGATAGTTATGATTATTTTTTTAATTTTAATTATTTCTATATGGACTCTAGACTCATATTTCAATTTTCCTTACTTTTTTAATTTCTCCATTATTTATAAATTTTATTCATATATGGATTCTATACTCCTTTTCTAATATTCGTTTTTCATATTTTTGAATTTTAGTTATTGTAGATTGTATCTTTATATGGACTCTAAACTCTTATTCCAATATTCCTAGTTTTTTTTAATTTTGAATTTTCGTTATTTGTACTTTGTATTCCTATATGGACTATAAACTTTTTTTCCAGTATACCTTTTTTTATTCCAAATTTAAGTTATCTGTAAATTATATTCCTATATGGACTACAGACTCTTCTCTCAATCTTGTTTATTATTAATTTTTTAAATTTATTTATTTAAAATTATATTTCTCTATGGACTCTAAACTCTACTTTAACTTTTTTTCTTATTTTTTAATTATGTCTGAATTCCTATATAGACTCTAGATTATTCTTCTAAGATTCATATTTTTAACTTCAAATTTTCGTTATTTCTAATTGTATTTATATATGGACTCTAAACTCATCTTTCAAAATTTATTTTTTTAATTCCGAATTTTAGTTATTTATAAATTGTATTTCTATATAGACTCTAGTCTTTTTTTTCTAAATATTTCTTATTTTTTTGAATTCCGTATTTTACTTATTTATAAATTGTATTTCTATATTGAACTCTTCTCCTAATCTTGCTTATTTTAAAATTTTGAATTTTAGTTATTTCTAAATTGTATTTCTATACGAATTCTAAACTCTACTTTTAAATTTATTATTATTTAAGTCCAGCTTCCAGTTAGATCTAAGTTCATATATGGACGCATCTAGACTGTTTTTCCAATTTCCTATTTCTTTAGTTCCGAAGTTCCGTTATTTTTAATTGTATCTCTATATATACTCAAAACTCATCTTCCAAAATTATTTATCTTTAATTCCAAATTTTAGCTATTCTTAAATTACATTTTTATATGGACTCTATTTTTTCTTTTTCTCCTATCAATGTGAAAATTTTTAGGCCGTGAGAACGAAAATGGTGGCTCCTTTTTCCTATTACTTTAATAAGTTAATAGTTGTTGTTGTCAGAATTCTCTAGGCATTACCAGTGCATCATGTGTTTGCCAATTTTACTTAAAAAATGATATGGTTTTGAAAGATTTATGCCCTAGAGTTGCCTTGTAAGGGGAGATTGGAATATCTATGACTCTAAGAGTGCGGTGATTGTTTTGGTGATTAATGACAACCCGTTGTTGGAACTAACTATTTCGATGAGTTAGTGAGATTAGGTTAAGTTCCGGCATCGAGTTAAAAGATTGAAGCTAGAAGATGGACATTTTACTTTGATGAGGAGCAAGTGAAGACGTTGATGATGCGGGGTATGAAATGACGATCTATGGCAAAACGGTGAAGAGCAAGTAAGGCTCGGCTAGAAGATGGACATTATACCTTGATGAAGAGCAAGTGAAGACATTGATGATGCGGGTATGAAGTGGCTATCTATGGCAAAATGGTGAAGGGCAAGTAAGGCTCAGCTACAATGGATCATGCGGGAGCGAAGGGCAAGCAAGAGGCTTGGCGCCGACGGACCGAATCCGGTGGTGAAGGGCGAGCGAAGGCTTTGTCATGATGGACCGTACGAGGCCATTTGAAGCTATGAGTAATCCGTATCAATTATAAGAAGACCGCAAGATGGAATGCCGAAGATCAAGAGGATGCGGTTCTCCGATGAACATCAAGTCAAAAGCCAAAGTGGGCATTGATCAAGACAAAGGTATAATTGATTTGGGACTAGTGTGCTTAACTAGTTGTAGATAAGAATAGTCCCTATGGTGAAATGGCGTTGACGTTGGCACCCCTCAAGGTGAAGCAAGAAGATGGCAAGAAGGCATTCCTAGTGGTATAGCTTTTCTATTTGCATTTGAGTATAGGAATGCCGTACTATTAAGAGGGATGCAACATTGATATGTTTGTTTATGTCTCGGTGCTCAAAGTGACCTATGCAAGTGCTACCTTGAGAGAAACCAAAGCCTTAACTTAATCTATGAGTGGTTTTAGAGCTTTTTTCTGGTTGGGTTGGGTGGCCCTCTTAATAAGCTTTCCATAGAGCCCAATTTTACCGAAAACAGACTCCAGAGCAAGGAGTTATGACTGTTTTTGTGAAGTGATGTCATGGTAGCTCGAAAGTTCAGGGCCCTGAGCCAGGAAGTTCTGACCCAATCTCTCTGTTTGGGCGAGGAGGGTGACAAAAAGTTCCGGGTCTCGGGGCAGGAAGTTCCGGGCCCTATTATGTGAGTAATGGCAAGTTTTTTGGGGGCTTGTGTTTTTTAAGCCCCTCCACTCTCTCCTTTGTTTGCTGCTGACTTTGGGTAAGAATAGACCTATCAAAAACCAAATAGCCCCTCCCAAACCTCCCACCTTAGTGGTAGATCTTTGTGAGTGAGATTTGGGAAGATATTTGAGAGATTGAGAGGTGGCAAGGTTGAGAGCTTGAGAGATCCACTCCATCATTTGAGCACATGAGTTCATAGCAAGCAAATCATCGTTTGTGTTTATTACTCTTGGAGGTTAAGCCTCCTAGACGGCTAGGAGTTGCCCGGTGAGCTCCCAAGCTTGTGGTGAATCGCAGGAAGTTTGTGAGGGCGTTATTCCACCTCCGAAAGGAAACAGAATACCCGGTGAGTGGATTCCGAGCTAAGGTTTAGGAGGTCGTCTTGGTAGAGCAAGCCTCACTTGTGGTGTTCTCTTGGTGTTCAAGTTAGGAATCTTAGTGGTCATTTGAAACCAAAGAGAAGTACCTAGGGGTGTTGGCTTGAAGACCAAAGACCTCTTCCTAGGCCTTTGCTTGGTGAGGCAAGGGGTTAATCAAGACCCGTCTCTTTGGAGCTCCTCAACGGAGACGTAGGATTCTCGGTGGAGAATCCGAATTTGGGAAAACAAATCGTTTGTCTCCTCCCACTCTCTTTATCTATGTGATTGTGATGCTTATCCCCTTATTTGTCTAGTTGTGCTATCATGTCTCCCCTTGTATGATCATTGTGCTATCTTGCGTAGTTTCATGTGTATTACTCTTGTTTGATACATGTTGCACCTTTCTATGGTTTAGGCTTCCTTGTGAATCAATTTACTTGTTGTGAGGTGCTCGAAAGAGCAACTCACAACTCCCCGGAAGTTCCTAGGAAGAACTCCGGAAGTTCCAGGCAGCTTTCTTTGCTCGGCATAAAAAGCTACCAGGAAGTTCCGGGCCTTTTGCCAGGAAGTTCTGGGCCCTAATTTTAACCACTGCAATTTGAAGTAAATTTCAAAATCGCCTATTCACCCACCCCCCTCTAGGCGACATAAAGGTCCTTTCAAGAAGGTCCATGTGCCTCTTTGCCATTCAAATCACATAAGCATGGTAAGATTAAAACAATCGAAACCTAGACGGGAGCCTAGGGTTGCTCGGGCACGGAAACGTGGCATGTCCATAGGTGTGTGAAACTCATTGGCGAGCCGCCCAGAAACTCCACTTGTTCTTCGTTAAGAACGTACCTGGCTGGATCAAGTGAGTCACCCCTCCTCAGGGTTGGATGTGTGTCTCTCTCCGAGAAAGAAAACAAACCCACAACCACCTGGCTTGCCATGGTAACTCCTTGACTTCTCGAGAAGGGATATCGTGGCGTTTTCACCGGCCTAAGGATGAGGACGTGACCCGTGGGTATAAAAGCCTAGCGGTAAGTTGCTATAGAGAGAGACTTAGATTCCCTCGAATATTTATATTGTTCAAGAGCTTAACTCTCCATCGAAATAGTAAAAGCAAAGGAGTAGTGCTATTATCTGGTAGGAGGCCCAAACCTGTGTACTTTCTACGTGTTTTTTCTATGTTTCCGAGCTGTTCTGAGCAAGCTAAGATGCCTCGCAGCCCCTGCCGACACGTGAGACATTGATAGGACGACTGAACGAGTATCGGGGAGCGATGACGTTCTATACCTTCGGCCTTCGTTTGACCGCTTCTAATCTATGTTATGTGATAATGGTCATGCAGGTGTTGTGGATTCGGTGTGGCATGGGATTCTCCTAGGCCGAAATTGAGGGGTGGCCTAGATAGAACCGCTAGAATCGCTCTTAGGAGATTCTGGCTTTTATTTTTGATGCTCTACTCAATTCGATATAGAGTGCCAGTACACAAATGAAACTATAGACCATACTAGAGTAGTAGATTTTAGGCTGTGTTTAGATCCAAATTTGTAACTTTTTCCATCACATCAACCTGTCATACACAACTTTTCAGTCACATCATACTAATTTCAATCTAAACTTCTAACTTTGAAAGGAACCAAACACAGCCTTAAACGAAAAATTTGACAAATGGATCTTTGGGAAAGAAATTTTCCGACGAACGAGATGCATTCAGGAGCACCGCAAACGAGGCTCACCTTATCAACTCCGGCGACACCAGAGGGCATTTGGGACAATTCATCTGCACACAGAGACAAATTATTCGGCTCACACTTCGCCCCCAAATGCTCGCAAGCATCTCCCGATCCTTCACTCGCCGTCGCCCACCCCTTCCGCTTTCCGCCGCCGCCGCCGCCGCAGCAGCAGCCATGTCGTCGTCCGCCACCGGCGTGAACGTCTCCGACCGTCCGATTTCCCCGGACACCACCCGCGTCGCCTGGGTCGGGACGGGCGTCATGGGCCAATCCATGGCCGGCCACCTCCTCGCCGCCGGCTACGCGCTCACTGTCTACAACCGCACGGCCTCCAAGGCCGAGGGGCTCGTCTCCCGGGGAGCCACCCTCGCGGAAAGCCCGCGCGCGGCCGCCGCCGCAGCCGATGTCATCTTCCTCATGGTCGGCTTCCCCTCCGACGTCCGCTCCACCTCCCTCGACCCCTCCACGGGTGCCCTCGCCGGCCTCGCCCCAGGCGGATTGCTCGTCGACATGACCACTTCCGACCCCACCCTCGCCGCGGAGATCGCCGAGGCCGCGGCCGCCAAAAGCTGCGCCGCCGTCGACGCCCCGGTCTCCGGCGGCGACCGCGGGGCCCGCAGCGCGACGCTCTCCATCTTCGCCGGCGGCGACGCGGCCGTGGTCGCCCGCCTGGCGCCCCTGTTCAAGCTGATGGGGAACGCGCTGTACATGGGCGGGCCGGGCGCCGGGCAGCGCGCGAAGCTGGGCAACCAGATCGCGATCGCGTCCACCATGGTCGGGCTGGTGGAGGGCATGGTGTACGCGCACAAGGCCGGGCTGGACGTGGCGAAGTGGCTGGAGGCCATCTCCACGGGCGCGGCGGGGTCCAAGTCGCTGGACCTGTACGGGAAGCGGATGCTGGAGCGGGACATGGCGGCCGGGTTCTACGTGCGCCACTTCGTCAAGGACCTCGGGATCTGCCTGTCGGAGTGCCAGGCCATGGGGCTGGCGCTGCCGGGGCTCGCGCTCGCGCACCAGCTCTACGTGTCGCTGCTCGCGCACGGCGAGGGCGGCCTCGGCACGCAGGCGCTCATCCTCGCCATCGAGCGGCTCAACAACACCTGCCTTGACAAGAAACCGGAGTGAGCTCTGCTCAGGCTCAGCTCGGTTAGATGTGTTCGATCGTGTAATGGAATGGTTGGATGATTGCTTCGCTCTGTCTGTTTACAGTACAGTGGTTAAAAGATTCAGATCAATAAAAGAAGCATACGTGGTGTTTCACCGTTTGGGATTAGGCCGAGTTTAGTTCCAAAATTTTTCTTCAAACTTCCAACTTTTTTATCACATCAAAACTTTCCTACACACACAAACTTCCAACTTTTCTGTCACATCGTTCCAATTTCAACCAAACTTTTAATTTTGACCTAAATTAAACACACCCTTACTAGTGCATACTCCTATAGTTTGTTCTTGTCAGAGCAAGTACAATAGAGGGTTATAAGAAGACTGAATACTGAGGTGAATAAGATAGTAGAGGAGATAGATGAGAAGCGGGCTGTAAATGGATAAGATAGTAGAGGGGATAGATGAGAAGCGGGTTGTAAGTTTACAGCCGGCTTAGTCACAGGAACCAAAAAGATCTATGAGACAGATAGATAAACCATATATTTATAGTGAAGAGTTAACCACTATATGAGTAATCTGAGAGATAGATTATAAAGATCTATGCTCTGCAGCTTGCTATATTATTATCTTTGCTCTCAGTCGGCTTGTTGGAATGATCGGTCCACACACTGACGGTGGAGCATATTTCAGCAAGCTTAAAAAATGTTGATGGAACTGTGATTAGTCTGAGAAAAGTTTGCGGTGACCTGCTTTCTTACCTTACTCCACTGCACAAGTGAAACACAAAAGACTTGCGATTTCTACCCCTCCGGCCAGCAATACATCATTATAAATTTATAATACTCTCAGCATAAAATCAAATACATTACTCTCCCAGAATCAATGATCGGATTAAGTTACAGTACAAAGCATTAAAATGGGTCAAAGAGCTAATGGCATGAAAAGCACCAGTCATACGAGAGAGAACAGATTATGATATGATGGTAAATACCATAACAAATTATAACAATATCGCCTGATCATCATCCCATGCTACCGTACAACCGTTCGACATAATATTATACATGAAATAGCAGCTCACTGCTCACATAGATGGCCACTACCAATTATAAAGCGATATAACACTATAAGCATAATAACATGATTAAATATCTAGAGTTTGTCCTCGTATTCAGACAGAGGGGTGATTTGCTCCTTCAGACCCTTCCTCTTGCGGATATCCAGGACAAGGTTAGCTGTCTGGTGCCAGGCTCCAAAGGATCAACTGACAGCATTTCCCAGTGATCAAATACAAAGAGGGGGAAGGCCTGACCAGAGGTTGCTGCCCTAAGGGTGCTTGTGAACCCAAATGACTCGATAACAGGGAGGTAAGCTTTGATGTTGTAGAGTGGGGTACCAGGCCTCTGCATCTCCTCGAACACATGTCCTCTCTTCTGGTTCAGAACACTGTAAATTCCACCAAGAGCATTCTCAGGGGCCTGAATCTCCACCAAGTAAACAGGCTCAAGCAGTCTTGGCTTGGCAGTGAGCTGAGCAGCATAAATGACCCTCCTGGCTGTTGGAATGATCTGGCCACCACCTCTATGAATAGCATCAGAATGGAGGATAACATCACAAACCTCAAAGCAAATGCCACGGCCACGCATGTTCTCTTCAGCCAGTGCACCTTCTTTTGATGCCCACTGAAAGCCAGCCACAACGGAATCCTTTATTTCGTTAAGATACTGCACTCCCTTGCACATATCCACAACAATGTTAGGGCCTGTGGTCTCTGGCCCAAAACACCATATCTTCTTTGCGAGGTCCTTGTCCCAACCAAACTCCTCGGATAGAATTTTGGAGCGTACTTTAGGATCGTCACGCGGGCCAATACGACCCTCGTCAATGGCTTCAGGCAGACCCTCTTCCATTGGGCGGGCTTCCATGTACAGACGGTTGTGCTTGTTCGGGGATTTGCTCATGACAGTCCGGCAAGATTTCTCAAGAACAGTCTCACGGAATGAGACAACAGGAGGGGAGACAGTAATTTCAGCACCACCCATGAAGTCTTCCTGCAGATCCTTCAAACAAATTTCAAGGTGAAGCTCGCCAGCTCCAGCAATAATATGCTCGCCAGATTCCTCAACAGTACAGAGAACCATAGGATCTGACTTGGCCAGACGCTTCAAACCTTCAACAAGCTTGGGAAGGTCAGAGGCAACCTTGCACTGAACAGCAACACGCACAACAGGGGACACTGAAAATTTCATGGCTTTGATTGGACAGGCATCAACTTCTTTCTCGTTTGTCAGGGTAGCATTCTTTGTGATGAACTGGTCCAAACCCACCATAGCAACAGTGTTGCCACAAGGAACACCTTCCACTGACTCCTGCTTCTTGCCCATCCAGATGACAGTTCGCTGGACATTCTTTACGTACAGATCTTTCTTCTGGCCAGGGGCATAATTGGGGCCCATGATACGGACCTTCATGCCAGTTGCAACTCTCCCTGAGAAAACACGACCAAAAGCGTAGAACCTCCCCTTGTCAGATGCTGGAATCATCTTTGAAACATACAGCATAAGAGGACCTTCTGGATCACAGTTTCTAATGGCAGATGCATATATATCATCAAGGGGGCCCTCATACAAGTTTTCCACACGGTACCTCTGAGCCTTTGCTGGAGAGGGAAGGTGATAGATCATCATCTCAAGAAGTGCATTACTTGCAGGAAGCCAAGTTTGCATAACACGCTTCATGAGAGCCTTGCCAGTTAGGTCCTTCATGGTAACACCAAGCTTTTGCAGCATAGGCAACAACTTATCTTTCTGATCATTCATGCAGGTGTTGATAATTTGCCTGATGGGCTCATAGCAGAACTGAATAAAACCTCTCTTGCAAGTATCAGAACCGGTGTGTTTGATGGTCCACTTCTTTGTGGTAGGGTCAAAGTAGTTCTCACCCCAAAGCCTCTCCATCATTTTAGATTCATCAACTCCAAACTTGGATGCATACATCTTTGCAAAGTTAGACAAGGTGAAAGCCCATCCATGCAAGCCAGCAGAGAAAGCAACAGTCCCTTTTTCTGGATAGACTTGAACATCACCAAGGAGTGCATCTTCGTATGTTGCCATAATAACATTTGCATTCTCTATGACACGGGAGAAAGTTTGATAAGCTTCCTCACCACCAACTTGAAGTTCAAGAAAACATCTATCCATCTTGTTCACAGTGAGGACAGGCCTAATCCTCTCACCAAGGGCTTGGCGAAGCACAGTTTCAGTTTGAACGCAGACACCCTCAATACAGTCAACCACAACCAAAGCGCCATCAGTTATACGAAGTGCGGCTGTGACTTCCGAAGAAAAATCGACATGTCCAGGTGAGTCAATGAGGTTGATTAGGTATTCATTTCCATCTCTGTCACCCTTGTAACTTTTGAGTGACTCATCACTCATCTCATAGTAAAGAGAGATACCAGTAGATTTTATTGTAATACCACGTTCTGCTTCATCTGAACGACTATCAGTCATTCGAACATCACCAGCAACATCCTGGGCTATAATTCCAGCAGCTGCCACAAGGGAATCAGTAAGGGTAGATTTTCCTGCAAAGAAATCATAACAGATCAAACATCATTGTTGCATCAAATATAACTCAAGATGTTGAATCAGCAAACAAATAGGAAAACAAGAGCATAATATATTCAGGAAATCAGGAACCCTCTGTTAAACAAAGAAGTGATAACAGACCAAACAAGTAAGTTACTTTATTAATTAACGAAAAAGCACAAACAGTGAGCAGGATGAAGGATGCACACATGAAGGTGATACTATAAAATGCTAGCTTTTAATTTTGAGATCATGCAAATGAAAAGGCAGATACAGTTAATTTGCTTACAGACATTTCATATCAAGCAAAAATAAATATGACAATAACACATTAACTACAGATGATAAAGAGCAAAAGTTCTTAGCATGGGCCCTTTTTCTGAAAAAAAAAAGGCAGGAGCACTGACAGTCACTACTACAAAAAGGAATAGTAGTTTTTTTTTTTTTGCATGAGTATAAATAATAATGACAACATAACAGGTGGCATATCAGGAAAAAGATAATAGTTGTATAACAGTCTTAGAGCACTCTACTCAAACATACCATGGTCCACATGAGCGACAACAGACATGTTACGGATGTTATGCTTCTTGTCCATAATCCTGCGCATCTCTTCAACCGTAAACTTAACCATTGTGAGTGATTTTCAATTTACACCAAACTTATTTCCTGTTTTGAAATGATCAATCTAGTCAGAATCCAGGAATATCCCAGTAAAAAGAATTCGATTAGCAAACCTCACAGTGAAAATGAAAGATAAAGCAGCATGCTAAATAAATTTGGAAGAGCATTTATAAACATTTGAAAAGTAACCTATCTTGCTTTTACATTTGGCACAGGTGAAACTTCACAGTTAATGTAAAATCAGAATAATAAAGCTATGGAGAAGGAAGTTCATTCATGGTATAAAGTGTTAATTTTAATTCTTTCGACATCCATTTGCCCACTTTCACTAATATTAATGCTGACATAATGCATGGCCATATGAATTTGTACTAGAACAATTGCTTACAAGTTCGTGTTCAGAAAATAACTTGCAGTGAGTTAATAACAGCCGCAGGTAAACTAGAAATTGTGTTTCAGAATGGCAAGCACGCGTTAAGAAAAATATTGAGTCTAAGATCAATAGTACTTCTACTGAAAGTCAATTTAAAATTCAGCAGCTGTCAAGTGCATAATGAAAAAATGCATTACATGACTTAATAGAACTGTGCATCTTGCTCAAAAAACTATAATAAATGAGCATCACCACAACAAATGGCGAAGCAGCCAGGTGCTAATGTATAACTATACTGGAAGCATGTGTATCATGATATCATGTTCCTTGGGAATCTGACATAAGTTTGACTTATCTTCTACACTCCATGTGCTTCCCCTGATCCAATGTTTGTTAAGATAACAGTTGCATCTCTCCCAGAGTTTGCAACTAAATTTAACCACTTATCCAACCTAATGAACTATCTGTTTGTGGAAAACTGACAGGAGTAGAAGTACTACACAGAATAGTAATCAGAGCAACAATTTGGAATTTTCGATATCATTAAGACAACAGATAATTAGATAAAGCACTGATCTGTCATGTGTCAGACTAAAATGTTTGATCAACGCTACACATATTTGGTGTGGCACCTATAAGGAACTACACATCAATTAAGAATAGAAAAAAAAAGACTAATATGAATACAATAGTAGACATGGCACCTACCACCAAGCAAACCATGGTCAATTTCTCACTAGTTGTACTTGGGAATTCAGAGAGGTACGGCAGCAAAACAAATTCAGTAACTGAGAACTGTAAAACGAAATGTAACTAATGCTTCTCGGGCCAAGGCCACGACTCTTCTTGTCAGGCAAAACAACGAACACCTAGCAAGCATTACTACCGAGTACCGACCCGTTCAACCATCATACAAACGGAATAAGTACGGGCATACAGCAGAGGCAGTGAGGCACGGGCGCACGGCCACGGGAATACGCAATACGAGAGCATACAGGGGAAGGCGGGGGATCCATTGGAGGTAACGGATGGTGTATACCTCCCGCGGCCTCGGGAGGCATGGATGTAGATTGTAGACCGGGTGCCAGCCTGAATCTCGCTCGCTTGGGGCTGGCCGGCCACGCACGGACGCCATCCGTCGCCTCCTGGACAACTGACCGACAGAAGAGGCTGGCCATCGTCGCCTACTGAACAACTGACCGACAGAGGCGGCTGCTCTGCCATGGGAAACCAGGACGGCAGCCGTCGGTGCTCAACGGCGCAACGGCCCGTGGCCGTGGGATCAGCACCTCGGCGCGGGATCGCTTTTCAGACTTTTCAGTTCTCCCGTGACCGGGAATTCTAACCTAGAGTTCAGACTTCATCAGAGTTTCCGGCTGGGCGACGAACCAATCGATGCCCAATGCAATGAACGTGTGAAAGGCTGTCTTGACCCCCAATCTCACATTAACAATTCCTATGGAGGTTATTATTTGGTTATTAGGATTGATTCAAAAGATTTTCATAGGATAGGAAAAGATTCCTCCATATTTTAAAGTATTTTTAGCGTGAGATCTAACCTTATGTTTTCAAATTCCTTTAAGAATTTCAATACAACTTATATCTTTCTCTCTCACCTCTCTCTAACAAATCGCAATATAATCTTAAGTTTTCTACTCTATCATAAAATATAAGCATTTTTAGCATACTGCCAAATCAAATATTTGTAATTTTAACTATTAATAGCAAAAAAATAAGATCAATCATGTAAAATTAATATTACTAGATTTATCATTAAACAAACTATCACAATATCGTTGGTCAAAATAGCATCTCGAAGACCGTATCAAAGTCTAAAAATACTTATATTTTGGGACGGATGGAGTATATTGTTCCTGTGAATCATCCAAATATCTATTTTGAGCGATTCATGTGGTTTTGTTTTCTCTGGGATTCAATAAGTCGTGATGACATATTTCTATATTTTCCTTATCCCTGTATTTTTAAAATATTGTGTTTCATAGTAGTCTAAAAGAGAATTCGCATAACACATGAGAAAATCTCTAAAACACGTTGTCGACGTTTGATGTCGCGATTCCGGTATTTGCATAGTATGGGGATCGTTGGTACTAGGATATATGTGAGACTGAGGTAAAAGAGATGGAGACAGGGATTTTTATACAGGTTCGGGCCCCTGAGTTGTCAGGTAATAACCCTACATCCTGTTGGCCGAAGCCGGTATTGCTCTTATTCACCATAATCACACCAGTACAATATTTAGGGTAGCATATATAACTGTTGTCGACATGGTGGTCTGAAGGTCTGACTCGTAGTCGACAACAGGGTAGTCTTCCTCCTCGAGTTCGTGTCCGGCGAGATCAAAGATAGCGCTTTCGTCTCTCCTGACAGTATCCGGAGACACCGTAGGGGACTAGCCGTGCCTATCTCTGAAGTCGATATCTGGCGTCTTGTCTTGGCGTATGTTGGCTTGTATGTTGATCTTCTGTCTTGATATATTATTCTGTAGATTGTGGTGGGTGTCGATTATCTCGTGTCTACTCTCCTCTTAGAGGGCCTTGTATTTATACCCATAGGTGTCCCTTTGTCAAGGTAGAACTAGGGAAACCAATATGGATACAATCCGAGTAGTCCTTGTCGTTTCCATGTAGAACTCTGATTGTCTTTCCTTATCCGGAACTCCCTCCATATCTAAAGTTAGTTCTCGTATAAGACATGGTATATGGTGGGTCCTGCTGAGATTAAGTCAACTACTATTAGGTATGTGGTATCCATAACCCTGACACACGTAAACTGGCGACACTAAACAAATGGGAGTCCAACCAGTTGAAACAAAATTTCAATATTGCTTACTTCCTTCGTCTCATAATAAGTTTATTTTTAGCTCATTACATTTGTTCCAAAATAAGTTTATTTTTAGAGTAATTGTTGCATAAGTAGGGAATAATTGTATTGGGGGTTGTTAGAGAAATGAAAACTAGAGTTACCATCACCAACTACTCGGGCGCATCTTACCTCCGGATACGAACCCCCCGTGGGCTGTGCTCGGGGCACTCCTTTCCTCGGGCGCGGCACCCCGCGGATTGTGCTTGGGGCACATCCGCCCATAGCGTGCCCCCCTCCTGGGTTATGCTTGGGGCACATCCGTTGTAGCTCTTGCAAGCTCATATACAGCTAAGATAGAATCAAAGATTACACAAACCACGTAAGAACACTCTTCATGCCCAAGCAGTGGCCCGAGCGCGCCACCTGCCTTAGGCACCCCATGAAAAGCGCAGTCGCATCGATGATGTTTTGATAGGCGAGGGGGTTGCTCAACACCCCCCCCCCCTAATTAATAGTGATGTGGCGCATGCATACCATCCCGTCTTGTTGAGAATGGGGGGGAGCGTGGTGAGTCCTGCACCACGCGTCGCTAGGCAGGGCTGTAACACAGTCTAAAAAACTTGCCTCCCTCATTTTTATCGTGCGAGCGTCGCGTTGTTTATCTGTCAGAGGAATTTCACACTCCGACAGGAGCAATAAAGTAGAGGAATGCATTGAGATTTGATAAAGTAAGGGTATTCTAGTCTTTCAGGTTTTCTATTGGTATGTGTGAGATAGGTGAAAAATAAATTTATTTTAGGACGGAGAAAGTATTAGAATAGATTTAGATAATTGGAGTAACTTATTTACAAGGGTAAATTGGAACCATGCCATTATAATTTTGCAAAGTTTGAGATATGCCATCGGTATCTCAATGAATATAGGACCCACATGTGTCAATGACATGTGGGTCTGGATGGCATATCTCAATTTTTGCAAAATTATAATGGCATGGTTCCAATTTTCCCTATTTAAGAATGGTTATTATTGAGCCTGGGATGGGAAAATATTTTCCCACCATCCTGTTCGAATCCACGACAAAGAGTGGATAAACTTTTGAATTTTCGTGGCACGCTTTTCAAACTGCTAAACGGTGTGTTTCGTGCGAAAACTTTCTATATAAAAGTTGTTCTAAAATATCAGATTAATCCATTTTTCAAGTTTGTAAAAAATAAAACTCAACTAATCACACGTTATTATCACATTGTTTTGCATAAAACACTTAATCTTCATTTTCATCTTCAAGAGATTCAAACACCACCTTAAACTCTTAATCCTAACCATCGATTCTTTATATCCCTCGTTTCATCTCAATCGTCCACTTATATTCCTATCTTAATTCGATTCCTCTTAACCTATTATCCAAACAGTCCTGAAGAGTTATTTGGACATTATATGTGCCGAAAAAAAATGGGACTCATGCAGATCAATTCATCTCGGTCCTTAACCTCTTTCTCTCTTTTTTTTTTCCTTTATTACCTCCTAAGCTAACGCGTAAGCGATCAATAGAATCAGTTCGGCGCATCTCGAGTATGCACACCTACGCACGTACATCTAGAGTAAATCCGTGTATAATTAACCATCGTCGTTGCATATTGTTGTGTTCAACTCCTAGCTAGTACGTGTGAGGAGTGAGGACCATATGATGGCCTGATCGATCAATCGCTATGCATACACGACGCGCTGCAGTTTCAACTTTTCATGCAAGTATACGCAACAACGAGAAGCACCACCAAACCAAACCAAACCCAAACCCCGGCCATCGAACAACCGTGAGCGATCGCCTGCACACACGGTGGAAACACAAGTAGCGCGCCGTATGAGCTGTGCGGCAGAAGCATCGTAGCTGCGTCATGCCTCGTGCAGTCGTGCGCCCCTCGCGCGAGGAAGAATGAACACCTTGAAAGCTTTTGAACCGGAAAGTCACCTGAGATCTCCAAGAAACGGAGGTCGGGAAGGGAGAGACACCGCGGAAAAACTGTCTTCGCTTGCTGGGCAACGGGACTACGGGAGTAGAGGAGGCGCGCAACGAAAAGCGGCATGCAGGAGCGCTTGTTGGGCCAGGCGAAGTTCGCGAGCCGGCTTTTGCAGGGAGGCAGGCAGCCAGCGGCCAAGAACCACCCTCACCGTTTTCGTCACTTTTGACTGGCTTTGGGTTCATGGCTTATTTGACACCTGGCACCTGGCACTCATGAATCATGCCGGTGCTACGTTGCGGAATCTTTACGGCTCTTTCCAGCACAAGTTTACCACACACCTTTTTCCTTACAGAATACTCCTAAAAATTATATAGGTTACATTAACAAACTATTCTATATTTTAAGATGAAAATAGTATAATAAATTATGCATAATGAGTTATTATTGGATCTGTTCGGTTGCCAGGCTGCAGCTGCGCACGAACAGCACCGTACTCACTGTGTGCAGCCGCATCCCTCACAGTCGGCCTGCCGAACAGGCCCATTTGTTAGGGGTTGCTATGCTTTGATAGCAGATAGGTATCACACCATCTGGTACCCTACGCGATATCAGGTACGGAGTAATACCTAAAGACAGTATCAGATATCTCACTAGTATCGACTGATACCCATCTGTACCAGATCATTGATATGATGCGTTATCAGCCGATGCTAGAAAATATCTATATAGTGCACACCTGTTTCGATGGTGGAACTAGATCTAAACCTTGAAAACAAGGTGCCAGACAAACAAGAGATAATGGTGCCCAGCGACAGGGATGCCAATAAACTCCTCTCGTATTATGATGACTCACGTGCCACCACCGCTGCAGCCACTATTGTTGCCGATGACAACACTACCACTATCTCATCGCCACCACCGCCCCCACTCTTTGGGACCAGAACCTCCTCCGCTTCCTTCTCTACTATGTGTTTAGTTCACATCAAAATTGGAAGTTTAGTTATAATTGGAACGATGTGACGGAAAAGTTAGAAGTTTGTGTGTGTAGGAAAGTTTTGATGTGATGGAAAAATTGGAAGTTTGAAAAAAAAGTTTAAAACTAAACTCGGCCTATTTCATCCTTCGCCTTCACAATGTTAAATCAATTTTATATTTCAGCGGTTCAGTTTTTATTGTTCTGTTGCAGCCTTGTCCTTTGCATTCCTGTATGGAGTAGCAGACGACAGCGGGGAGCAACAGCAAAGCCATAAGGATATTTACAGTACGTCTCACTATAATACCGAGCCTCACATGCCAGCTGACCAGCACTAGACACAAGTTTTACAGTGCTTTAAAGCAAGTGTTATAGTAGATGTGATTGCTACCTTCAAATTTATTTATATCATTTACCTATAAATTAAGATGCAAGATATACAATAGGTCATCCCTAATCAGGGGCGGACCTAGGTATGGTGCCGGGTATGCACGGACATACCCAAATATTTCAGAGAAAATATAGGATGTAGTATTCATTCGTGGCCTAAATATTTGGTAGATGCCCTTGTTCCTAAACAAACGGAAGACCAAAAGGCTTACCTGATCTCGTTCTCTAGTTGTTGTGGGCATTTCTGTTGGTCAGTTGGTGGTGCAAGAAAAGTAGCGGAAGCAATGGCCATACAGTATGTTGTGGTGGTCGGCCACGGTGAGGCTGAGACCATCGCACAACGCAGTCCATGTTACGCCGACGCCAATGGCCTGGAGCCTTGAGGCCCTAAAGCCATCACCGAACTAGTAGTCTTTTACCCTTCTATAATTTACTTTCTCTGAATATCTGATTCTTGGACCAGTGTTACTTGATTCAAATTCATCAAAACTAAAATGCAAAATCAAGCATGGGTTGCGACAACGGACCAAGCATGGGTGAAATGGGTTCTTTCATAAATTGTGTACATTTTACCAACTTTTCATGAATTAATTGAACTAAATTTTGATCAAATTTCATAAAACTTTTGCTACCTATAACCTGACATGTTTTAGTTAAAGAATGGTATTATACATCCTAGCGTGGGCACACCCAATATGATTTTTCTGGGTCCGCCACTGTCCCTAATAGACAAATATCAATGTCTTTAGTACTCTCACATCCTTCTTGGAGTTTGTGTGGAAGCCACCTCTTCATTTAGGGGTGGTTTTATCATCTCTCACCTCACTTCTCTCCTCCACCTCATCACCTAATTCTATGTGTTATTTCTAGAGGTAGCATATGAAGCATTATAGTAATTGCCCTTACAGTACTGTAGTTTTAAAGGGGTCCACAAAATACAGAAGTCCCTTCTCTCCTCTTTCTGAATTCTGATGGGCTAGCCGATGGCCTGCTGTAGGTGAACTGGGCCGCACGGTGTGCGAGTAAAGGAAGAAAGATGCACGTGTGCCGTTGGATGAATTGGTCGCCAGAGATGAAGCGAACTGCAAAACCGTGACTTTCCACGCATCGTCGTCGTCGGCTCGTTGCGGCATTTTGTCGAACGGGTGGCGCGCGCCGCCCAAAACCCCCTCGGCTCCAGCCTCATCCAAAACCCTACTCCCCCCGCCCCGCGCTATGCTCCACTCCGGCCTCACCAAATCCCAGCCCCTCCCGCTCCTCGCGGCGGCGTCCTCGCCGCGACGCATCCTCCTCGCCGGCCTTCTCCGCGCAGCGTGCTTCTCCAGGCCCACGGCCTCCTCGCCCGCGCTTCATCCGGTAACCACCGTCACCAACCGTGCGAGCGCCAGAGCCGCGGTTAGCCCGGGCGGCCCCTCGCAGCTGGGGCTGGGAGGTAGGGTTTCGTTCTCCACCGCACCTGATGGTACCGCATCGCCCGACGGCGGGAGCGCGCTCCCTTGGCTCGCCGCCGCGAGCCGCGATGGCGGCGCCGCCCCCGCGGCGAGGGCTAGCGCCGGCCGCTCCTCCTCGTGGGAGACCTCCGCGGAGAAGTTTTTCTCCAGAGGCGACCAAAGCCCGCGAGGTGAGGTATTGACGGATCGTGGTTCGGGCAGGGAGATAATTAGAGAGGAAGAGGATAATGGCTCGATTGACAATCCGAAGTGGGGCAGGATCAAGGACAAGTATCGGCGGATGGTGCCGAGGGATAGAGGGTCCCGTGGTGAGAGATTTAGAGGGGAGAGATTTGACAAGCCGGAGGTTAGGCAGTGGAGCAGGCAGGAGAACTGGGGGAGGAAGACATGGAAGGAGGCAGGGGAATCGACAGTGCCAAAAATGGTTGGACAGGGGGTTTATGGGGTTGGCCCTGTGCTTGCAGCTCTCATGGCTGAGAGGAGGGACTTCTATGCGCTGTATATTCAGGAAGGGATGGATTTTAGTGTGAGCAACAAGAAGAAGAAGGACAAGAAAGGGATTGAGAAAGTGTTGCAACTGGCAGAGAGGATTGGGCTGAAAGTCATCGAAGCATCAAAGCATGACCTTAACATGGTTGTGGATAACCGTCCACACCAGGGCCTTGTACTCGATGCATCACCCTTGGAAATGGTGAATACTAAAGAGTTGGAGCCAGTCAGGGTGGACGATGGAAAGGCACCTGTCTGGATAGCTTTGGATGAGGTCATGGATCCTCAGAACCTAGGAGCCATAATTAGATCTGCCTACTTCTTTGGCGCGGAAGGTGTTGTGTTATGTGCTAAGAACTCTGCTCCATTAAGTGGTGTAGTGAGCAAAGCTAGTGCAGGCTCACTTGAGTTGATCGAACTGCTCTCCTGTAGGAACATGATGCAGTTTTTATCTTCATCGGCTGAAAATGGGTGGCGAGTTCTTGGTGGTACTGTTGCTCCTAAAGCTATACCTCTATCTGAAGTTGTGCCAGGAGAACCAACAATCCTTGTGTTGGGTAGTGAAGGCACTGGTTTGAGGCCCCTGGTTGAGCGATCCTGCACACATTTGGTCAGAATTCCGGGTAATGTTGATGGATCTTTTGTAGGAGCAGATACAGACACAGATGGAGGGGAAGAAGGTGATAATTATTCAGGTAACCAAGATATGAAATCATTCCTTGCAGTGGAGAGCTTGAATGTAAGTGTCGCAGCAGGGGTTTTGCTTTATCATCTGGCTGGAACAAATGCATCCCCTGTAAGTGATAAGCCTAGCATCCCTCTTATGTAAGGATGTCACATAATTCATCCATCCATATCATAATTATTTATATTAGTTCTCTTTTAACACTTACTCCCTCTATGTACTGAGTTCAGTTTCAGTCGCATGCTTCTACATAAATGATTCTTTGTCATAGTGCCATAATTATGTTCTGGAATAAGCACATAAAGAATTGCTAGTTAGAAATATTTTTCAGAAGTCCAAAAGGTCAAAAAAGATTAAGGCAGAGGAAATCTATTCCTTACCTGGACGACTCTTGTGAGCATGCCAAGGAAATTGAGCATTACCTGCATCTACCTTGCAATATTGCATGTTTAGTGTCGTTTTTTCAGTTATAAATATCTCTGTAATACCGTAACACTAGAAAGATGACCCAACTTGGAAAATAACATCGCTCTGTTCCTGACAAGTTGTCATCCTCAAATTCATTCCTATAAATATCGCTCTGTTCCCTTCTTTTTACAGTCTATATTCCATATATTCTTATTAGTTTAGTCACCAAATTACTGCATTATATCTAGATAAATCGCACTAACAGCTAATACATCTCTTGGTTTGCTAAGGCAATTTTGCAAGCATGGGTGTACCTACTAATTTATGATTTTTTAGAAGCTGTACTGTCAAAGTTCTTTTACTTTGACTACTAACATCGAAAAAAACTAGATTCATTGGTCATATGAAGAATGATATCACTAGTCTTGTAATACGTTTCAATGTATGGCGTTTCATTCATATATTCTCGAACTTAGCTTCCATATGCATGGCTTTCCTTGGTACACATTAAAATATTTAAGATGGAGTTGTTCTCATTAAAAAAATATGTCCTTCTATTTGCTTGGTTCTTGGTACACATACTATATAATTTGTGCTTAAGCTTCCGTTTTCACCTCAGCTTCATTCAGCACACATTTGTTTTGATGACTTAAATAATTTAAGATTAAGATGGCCTATAATAATTTTGTTTTCTGTTTGTCATGGACCGACTGAAGTATATGGATGGCATTGTTTACAAACTCAAATACTGCATGTTGTGTTAATTTATTAGTGAAAATAATGCAGCCAGTCAGTTACAATAGATGTCATATATTGCTGTTGTAATCCAACGCAAAGCAATAAACTGAGAAAAGTAACACAGCTAGTGTAGACCTAGAGAATTTAAAGCAACTGATAGTTAGGAGGGTCAAGTGTGGAACTGATGATTGAAGGCTGTAAGGTGAGGCGCGTTCGAAGTTCGAACTATTCTGAGGGTCTGAGTGGCATTCATGAAAAATCCACAAAGTTATCCTTGCTTGCTAATTATTCCCTCATAATATAACACAGACAGATAGTTTTCTCAAAGTTCTTCAACATATAAAGCATGCATAGGAATTTATTGATGTTCTGCCTTCTCTGCTTGTGTTTAGTACATCTTTGCTCACATATATATAACTAATGATCTTAATAACTAACTAACTATTCTCTTTGGATTTCCTTTTTGATCAATGATAACGACTGCATTGTTGTTATAGAGTATTATTATACCGTTTTTGCATTTGAAATCCATACATGTATGCACAATTACAGATCGTATTACTTTTGATCTTTCTAGAGGCATCTTGGACACTGCATCTTTTATTACAGCAACAATAACATCACCAATACGAGTATATTACTGTATTTTAATCTGTATATCATGGGCATTTTCTTTCCCTTTTTTTTTGTGTTTGGTGTGCGTGCGTGTTTGACAAAGGCGCGGGGGTGGGGGGGGGGATTGCCATCCATTTTGTGATTATTTTCTGGAAATATAATGCCAGTCTATTTTAACTGGTGGTGCTTGGAGATTAAAAAAACCAGAGTTAACTGATCCTTGCTCAGCATGCAGGGCCACGAGTTACTGTTTCACAGTAGTATTAATATTGTGTTCTTTTTTTTTTTGGTGGAAGGATGGAGGACGTTGGTGATTTACAAGTTGCTGAAAATTAGGATTTAGAGGAAAAAATATGTGAATTGGAAGTCAAATAGAACCATCTGGACAGAATCTGGTCCTGCTATTTACCGTCTCCTGGCTGGCGTTCTTTTCCATCTTCTGGAAATCTGATTTTTATGATTGTCCCCTTGTGATGTTTGAACTTTCAGCATCATCTTAGTAAAAGTTAGGAAGTGAAAGCAGAACAACATAATAGTTCAACAGTACCAGCCTCACAGTAAGCAAGCTACAAGACTATAGTTTCACATCTCTTTCAAATGCATTCATACCTAGACATGTTTTGTCGCAAAATATAGTCATATTATTGCTCTTGCTATTGTAGCCCAAGATGTTCTCTTGTAATAATATTACTACTCCCATGTCACAAACTCACAATACTTGTCACTAAACACTATTCTTATTCAAACTTTGACCACTTTTTTATCGAACTTGAAAATACTTCAAAGCTATCATATTATTGTATTATTGAAGTATGTTGCATGGCAAATGTAATCACATATCTTTTGTTGAATATGACCTAACAATTTAGAAGTTCTTGGTGGTTAAAATTTGAATAATGATACTAGTCAAGGCTGAGTTGCTGACAGGTATTTTGAAAATGAAGGAAACTGGCCTTGTATATTCTTATGACACGGGAAGGTTTACTGATGCACAGTAGCCATCATGTTTTCTACTTTTCTTCTCAAAACAAAGAGCATTGCTGAGCTGTCAACTGTAAAACACTGGTTTGACCTGATAGATCATAAGTACACCATCCTTATACTGTTTTTCAACAAGTACTTGGCTAGAGAGTTGGAAATAGGAACATGATGCCAATACAAGACACAGAAACCCAACTTATTACCTGAAATGGAACAATCCATTACAAATAGTTTTGGGGAATACCCCAAATTATAGTTGGCATACCTGGATAAAGTGGGAACAAATTTCTGCCTTATGTTCGGTGAACACAGGTAAGATGCAATATCTTTGCTGAAAGAAAAATAATGTTTAAAAACTATATAAGCACTATTGCTGCGTCCCGATCTTATTTTGTAGGCTAGGTGATGGTTGATTATAAGGTTGCACATATGCAGGATGGTGCCCCACATGGAGTTCTGAATTACACAATTTCCAATTTGCCATTTTAGCTAACATTTTATATTTAATTACATTGCTTTGTGAAATTATATTGCTGATTGTGCTGTAAAGGTATTCTTTGTGCCTGTTCTCTAATGCAACGTAAGCAATTGGCTCACGTCTCTTCCTAAATGTGGCATATAGTGATTTATTTGTTTTTTATTAGTTGGTATATGCAGTTCCAGAAATAAAACCCTAAGGTGAATTTATTTTATCCATCAAGCCTACACGTATGCGTTTTGCTGGTGCGGTTATTTTCTTCCTCTTGATATCATAATATTGTACATAATTCTTGTGTGATCTTCTGCTAATCTCTTATTGATATTTGATTCTGTTCATGTGGACATAAGAGATGTGTTGGTATGTTTGGGCATAGGGATGCAAATCAGCAAATGGGTTGGGTTGGACCAACCCATGAACGCACTTACACATCCTACATGATAACATGAGTTAATAAGCCTAAAAGTCTTGCAGAGCTATCTGCTTAATAACAAACATGTGCCACTCTCCTGGGTGTTCTCTAAAAACTAATGCAAGGTCTATGTTTACGAGGTTAATAACCAAACATCTAAGAAGTGGAACATGGGATGAGTACCACTTTTATCCATAGTAGGTCATCTAGCTATAGCCTCATAGGTGAGCAAAAATATTATCCTTTTTTATGCATACTCCCTTTTGGGGCTGAAATCTGAAGGCGACTGTCGATGTCAGGTTAACATTTTCCAGTGTAACTGTAGCATCATGAATTAGAGCACACTGTACGAGATACATGGCATTGTTCATTAGATTTTGATCACATCATGCCAAATTGCTTTGTGTCAAATAAATGCACTCCTTTACATTTCTCTATTGTATTTCCATAGAACATCTTTGAATGGTGTTAGCGTCTTAATCTATCTAGTATTCAACTTGTTGTGCCAGCAAATCCACATGATTGGGTGCTGGAAATAAGGTTAGTTCTGTCATTGGATTGTCTGCATTTCTTTTTGGCTTTCACTGTCACCAAAGAACTGTTCTTGCAAAAGGAGTATAGTTTTTAGGCCACACAGGTAAATTATACAGTCGCACACTGCAAGTGCCAGCACATGAGCACACAATACTGTGGGGATAAAGATGTTTGGTAAGGACATTACAAAAGAGCCTAAGATTCTTTCGTAATCCACCCCGTCTCTTCTACTTTTCCTGCTGTCCGGAATTTAGGGATGGTCCAATGACAAAGACCTTTCCTTTGTCCCCAGTTTCAAGGCTCGGAAGCATCAAGGTGAATATTCTCCTTTACCAGAAAAGCTCTCTCTCTCTCTCTCTCTCTCTCTCTGTCTCTCTCTCTCTGGTTTTATTCGTGCCCGTTTGCTTCATTGATCTTGAAATACATAAGGTTTTTATCTGTACAGATGGCATGAACTGCTGGAAATGGCTGTGTGGTGATTTTCCTGTCAAAACTTTGGGCACTGAAGGCGCTACAAGATTATATGTAACTTATAAGATTCTTCTGCAGTCCTATTTCAGGTACGCCTCATAACAATTACCCTCCAAAAATATTACCAGTGTCTATTCTAACATCTTATATTCCTATTGGGTTACATATTTGCAAGAGTTATACATCTAATATTCCTATTGTGTTACATATTTGCAAGAGTTATACGCATTAGGCATGCTTGCAGTGTTAACCGTCAAGTTGAAACTAATGCACTGTATTTATCTTGGGGAGAAAATAAAAACAGTGCCACCAGCTGTTGATATTGGCTTATTCAAAAAAGCCAATGTGAATATGGTCACCAGGGCAGCTTGGAGATAACATCCAGGTTTGGCAGCTAGTGCTATCAGATGGTTTTAATCATTAATGGACCTACATAATGCATTCATGTTAAAAACTAAAAATAGTACAACCAGTTTATTTCTTAGCTTTCACAGCAAAACGAAGTATGAACATCTACCCCTCTTGTGTGTGGTCACAATCATGCCACTGTTGTATCACATGATAGCTATTTGACACCCAATAAGCGCGAAGGCATTAGCACATATTTGCTTTCGGCAGTTTCATAGTCGGGTCAAACCTTTCTCGCTGTGCTTGTGACAAATTTTGGAAAGTGATGGGATTAGAAGGATAACAACTCACCCAGTGGATAATTCTGTTTTTTTTTCAAAAAAAAAAATTCCTACTAGTAGCATATTCCACGTGGAGTGATGACTTGATGCTATCAGGTTAGCCTAGTTGCTGTCCTCTGAGACACGCTGGTGACATTAGATCTGCATGTCGGGTTGCAGCAGCGATTAATACAAATTTATCACGCAGAACAAGGCACTTTACATGGGTGACCTGCAAGTCTACATATGCGGCTCTCCCCGATAAAACCAAAATCGCTTCGAATTGAATTAAGCAACATGTCATAGCAAGGTAACCTAATTTACAAAACAGATTGCCATTTCCTTGCATTTGCTGTATGCCAACTCATCTCAGTAGATCATCTATATAGGCAAAATAGGGGTAGTCCTAAAATGGAGAATGGACTGGCTTGAGTGCACACATTCATTCCGAATGGTTAATAAGATCCCAGCATTTCAGCAATTGGTGACTCTCCTAGACGGCTAGACCCTAGCAGTAGCTCCAATCTGGAGAATAGGAAAAAAATAGTAAAGAATATGAGACTAACATAAAAGTGTAGCTATCTTCATTCAAATTTAGCGAAAGCTAATTTTTTTATGGCTACACCAAAGATTTGGACACGACTTTAAGTGGTCTAGCTTGTCTTACCAGGGTATGGGAAAGCTCTGAACTCCTTAGAACCCTCAGCCTTTTAGCAGTTGAGACAAATACTCTGCAGGAATTGGAGAACAGGAAAAATAATTTAGATGGTTTGGTGGTGCCTAATATAAATTATGGTGGCAGTGTCCTTTTGTTGTTTTTAAGATTTGATTATTTTGTAAATGCCAGTAAAAACTGTAAATGACAAGGGGGACCAGCAAACTTACTTCCATGGCACGTCCCCAACCAGCATCCTGTCTCCTTCACTGTCTTCATAAACTAGAGTATATTCACCAGACCCATCCAACAATTGATAAAATATTTTGTCATCTGCACCTTGCTGTGCAATTTGCGCATTAGTTTGGTCCTTTTGAGCTGCAATATGATCAGATAAAAGCTAAGAATTTTATAAAAAATGAAGTACTTATTTTATTTGGATAGATTGTTAATTTCTACCTTGAAGAAACCCATGGAAGAGTTGTTTGACAGCTGACGATAGCCCATCATAGCTGTTATAGGCTGCAAGGTCTATTTTCCTTCCAATAGGGATCCCATCCATGTTGATTTTTACAAGAGGGTTTTTCTTGCAGGTGAGCGTCACCTTTGCATTGGCATTATCATTTTGTGGTTCAGGGGAATGTTTGGATGAACTACTACTAGCAAGGTTTCTCCTGAAGGATCGAATTGGAGGCCAACCAACCACTGGTGCTGCAGCTCCTCTACAAACAGGTTAGAAAACTGGTGAGTTCGTCTCTGAAAGGCCATCGAGATAAATGATTGCATAATATTAATAAAATAAAATAGTTAAAATAATTTAATTGGTTGTACTAGTATATATATTTTTCTATTTGTACTGCTATTGTTCCAACCAATTAAACTGTTAGAGTGATTATAATCCAAGAATATATGTGCCCAAGGAGACTTAGGGCATTCTCAACCCAAGACACTAGATATAGTTTCCATAAACTCTACATCATCAAGAAACTAGTACTAGACACTACTCTTCCAATGCAAACACTACTATTCCATACTTAAATTTAATGCTACTTATCTCACATAATATCTTGGATGTTATGTAGAAATCATGTCTCATGCAAGACATGGTTTCCTTCTCTTTCCTCATTAATTCATTTGCCACATCATTTTTTATCCTAGGTGGCAGCTTATTTAATGCTATGGACACCATCCTAGTCATTGGGTCGGGAATGCCCTTAGTTGAATAAGTGATAAATAGACAAGACTATGAGCGTAGGAATTAAGTTTAGTGTTTAGAAAAAGGACAACTCTCTTTCTATAAAAAAAGGGGTGCTTTTTGAGGGATAAAAGAAGTAGTATATTCTTTGAGGTTCATATCGACCAAGAACAGCTAAGTAAATTAGCCATTGCACGTCACGTTAAAATCAAAAGATTGAAATGGACATAGGACACCTGCGATTTCTGGGAACCTGGAAAAGAGCATGGAGGGACTATATGCAATCCTTCGAATGAACTATAAATGAGTGACAGGAATAAACGAGCATGTGTTCCTTGGCTGAGAGCAGAAAAGATGGAAAAAGCACCATATAGGCTATCAGTACCTTCCCTGGGTCTGTGGTCTGTTGCGCGCAGGTGTAGCAGGAGCACCATGTGGTGGTGGTGGTGGGGGGCAGCATCCTTTCTTCCTCTCACTCACGGCTGCTATCATTTCCTCCACTGCAAGTTCCTTCCCACATCCTGCCCTTGCCTGCTGCTTCTGGTCGTTATAACCTTATAAAGCAACAAAAGAGTAATTTTCAGTTCAGTGCTTCCATCAGTTTGTTTCCATGTTTCTAATCCCAAGTATAAACATGTTTCAAGAACAAGCTCACGAGAGAACTGAAAAGCTGTTTGTTACCTTCTGTTTTGTCCTCAACTGTGTCTATGAATCCCCTCTTTGCTCCAGTTGTCGTAGTAGTGCTGCTGGTGGTCTTGGAGTGCTTTGGAAAGAAACTAAGGGAGAGAGATGGGCTCTCTTGCTGTAGCCTGTAATCTCTTAAGGTTTCTGCCTCATCATCTTCTATAAAACCAGGAAGACCAAGCTTTAGGTCTAGCTTCTTGTCTTCTTCACCGTCGAAGCCTGCGTTTCTTGATCTCCCTAGACCTAATGCTTCTCTCAGCTTCCATTCCTTCTCATCTGGGATGAGATCTAGGAGTTGAGGAGGAAGTCCTTCTCTTTTGTTGGACCCTTCTTCCATAAGGTTAACTAGCTCAAAGTCTTCAAGAGTCTAAATGCTATCCACCTAGAATAGTAGGAAGAGTTTGAAGGCAATGAGAGGAGTTCAACCAACTCCTTAAAAAGTTTAGTTCTACACTCAACTTAGGCTGGAGAAAAGCACCAAACCAGCCCGAAGCGTAAGCTGAGGTCTAAGCGAGAACGAAAGAGAACGCGGAAAAACACGGAGTTAAGATCAGGTTCTGGCAATGAAAAATTGAAAGCGGAACGAATAACTCATTTGTGCAACAAGCAGCACCCTAGACGTTTGTTTTAATTAAAGTCTTTCGTAATAACTCATAATGAAACATAAACAATACCAATGAGGCTAAAACATCTTAAAAGTGTGGTGTATAGCCTGCCATAGAAGCAAATGATTGAGGCAGCCCCAGATCAAAACAGCTCTTTTGTCAAAACCATTTCAGGAAAGAGAAGAACAACCTGCAACCTGTAAAATCAGCAAGCAACAAAAACACCTTGTGCTCCGGCCAAAATCTACGGCTAACATGACAGGAGGACTCACCAGGAGATAAACAACAGTTGCAAACGTAGCCGGAGCTAGAGCTAGAACTAGAGTTAGAGCTAAAGCTCCAGGAGGCAGATGGGAAATGGCCAAGTGGAAGCGGCTAGAGCTCGCGAAATCGCACCTCGGTGGCTTTATGTACTAGCGCGGGTGCCTCGAGCTGCTTGCTTGCCGTTCTTTTCTATGCTTTTCTTTCTTCTTTAGTCCCCTACAGCTCGGCTTTTTATCCTGCCTCCCTTTGCCCCTCTCTCTCTCACTGTTCTGGAGAAGCACGCACACTTTGATGACTGACTAGGTGTGTGGCTGGAAGATTAGCATGTGAATTACAGTAGAGAATCCATTTATAGAAGAGAGGGCGGCTCGATCACGAAAGCGTGCGCGTTTTTTCGCCCGTGTGTCCTCTTGCGCGTGTGTGCGTGTGCCGTTTGGCGGATTGGGGTGGGGGCGATATGATATGGGAGAGGGTGTGGCCGCGCCGCGCGAGCAAGGCGTGCGCCCAGGACAGGAACAGCGGCACGCTTATCCGGGCAAGTGGGGGCGCGATGAGTGATTTGATGGGTTGTCTTCCTGGCTGGCTTACGCACATACTCCATCCGTGTGGCCATTGGCGCTGCTGTTGGTTGTGGCGTAAGGAATGGTTCCACCTCCTTCCACGCCCCGACCACAGGGGACCACTGTTGATGAGGACATTACCCCGTCTGAACTCCTGATCTTCGCTGAACCCTTGGATTGGATTGGAGTGGAGCTCCACCTGCTTACTATTCATGCTTGTCAGAGACAATTGATTGGGCTTGGACCATTAGATCATCTTTGTTGACAAAACTCGTGCTTGTTTGATATCCGGATTGTGCTGGCTTTCGGCCGGTACATTGGCCCCCCTTAGCTAAGTGCAGAAAGAGAGGCTTAAAGAAAGGAAGGCGATAACATTTACTGTTTCAACTCGTTGACATATCGAATCTTTAAACAGTTGAGGGCCCATCAGTCGTGCAAGTTGAGTAAGGATGCGCGCATGCTGCTCCAGGCATTTTGACCCCGGCATCTGACTTTTCAAGAACTTTGGGCTAGCTGACTCGATCTGTTAAAAGAAAAAAAGAATACTTGTTTTTTTTCTTGGACTCGTGGATATACAGCTATATATTGAGATCAGTCAAACTCTTATGAGTGTGTTTGGATAATGGGAAATAGAGGGTGAGATTGGAATTGGGAAATGAATAAAGGGTTAGGATTAAATGAAAGAGGGAGAATGAATGGTTAGTATTTAAAGATGCATTTTGGTGGGTGGAAAATCATTGCCATTTCCCATTAGCCAAACATTGTCTGTGTGTATATATGACCGGGCCGAGTTTTGAAATAATTGCATAAAGTCCCTCACTGATGCACCAATAATGCATCCAACATGTTACTGAACTTCTAAAATAACATGACTGAACAAACAGCACGGATTCTGACTAATAAGGATGAGTAGTAGTGGCTTTTAGTATGGCTCTTCCCTCTGAAAAATCCCAAATTTGTTAGCTTTCGCTGTTCCTGGGCGCCCTCTGCCGTCCGTTGCATGTCATGCGGCTGGTAGGGTCTGCATGCGTGCAGTGCTGCTGCAGCATGTACTTTTATTGCCCATAATCTAAACAGTATGGACAAAAGCGTACCCCTCCCTCCTTTCAGATTGGAACTATAAAGAGTAAATAGCACATCCTTTTCTCAAAGCTGGCCAATTTTACCACAGATGATTAGCTTCCTCTAATTGATATCTAAAACTCAATCAGTGCTACTACCTCTCATCCATCATTAGTATAATAGGTGCTGCTTGTGCTCTAATCATTACAGCCTAGTCACTTTCCGTCTCCTAAGTTTTTAAAGCCCATTTTGTCGAAATCAGCCACACGCGTCCGGATCATTACGACAAGAGCGGCTACCAACCCCGGGATATACCTCCTCCAATTACTCAAATCTTAGTACTTGATCTATATACTCCAGCTGCCTCTCCTCAACAAGTTTCTGCATTCTGCGTCTTTAGAAATCATAACAATGTACTAACAGAAAACTCTAGCACCAAATTGACCGAAACCAAAAGAAAAGGGAAATACCTCTTTATCTTGTGTTAGCTGGTTTTTTTATTGTAACAATAGAGTTGTAGCCACATTTCTTATTTGGTATAGTATGTATTGTTAAAAATGTAAAAGGATAAAAGGGTAATTTTCTTACATGTCCACTAAACATTCACTAATCGGTACTACTACTCGCTTTAAATTATATGACGATGTAGGCTTTTGGACATGGCGTTTATTAAAAAAATTAGTGCAGATGTAAAAAAAATTCAAGTCATGCTTTCTTTTAGTGATAAAATAAGTCACAACAAAATACTCTATCTGCCCCAAAATATAGTAACCTAGGCTGTGTTTAGTTCGTGTGGCAAAAGTTTTTTGAAGTATACGAACACACATTTGAAGTATTAAACGTAGACTAATAATAAAACAAATTACATATTCCGTCTGTAAATTGCGAGACGAATTTATTAAGCCTAATTAATCCGTTATTAGCAAATATTTACTGTATCACCATATTGTCAAATCATGGTGTAATTAGGCTCAAAAGATTCATCTCGCGATTTACATGCAAACTGTGCAATTGGTTTTTTTCGTCCACATTTAATGCTCCATGCATGTGTCCAAACATTTGATGTGACGGAAAAGTTGGAAGTTTGAAGAAAAAAGTTTGAATCTAAACAAGTCCCTAGTACTAGTTAGACACATTTTCTAGTATTATGATGTGTGTATTAATTAGGTTGTTACATTTTAGGATGGAGGGAATAGATGATACTTATTTTTTCTATAAGTTGAATTATCAAACGTAATGTATAAAAAAGATCAATGGAGTTGTATATTAAAAAGGGGCATTTGCAAATTTGCCACCGGTTTTTCAATTTTACAAGGATGCCACTCGAATGATAGTTATAGTGGTATTTTTGTAATTTTCTAGTGGCAATTTTGCAATAACTATTCAAAGCAGTGGTAAATTTGTAATTGCCCCATCTAAAAATGGAGGTAGTACTTCCTTTCATGCCCCGAAGATCGAAATGCTCGATACTTTGTATGCCATTAAGCACCGTTTTTATTCCTTACGGCCTTACACACCGCTGTCACTATCTTTTATCTTTGACATGAAGCATGCATTTGACGGAGGTTTGTTCTCTCTATTCGCTCTTGTTATATTGACCCCTTATGACTCTAGTCATACTAGCTTCCTACCTCCGCGGCTCCGCCAATCGCTAGAGAAAGAGGTATGGCCGGCGACCTATTGTAAGAGCTTCTCGACGAGATCACCATATCACCCTTGCCTTCACCATATGAATATATATGTATTGCCATTCACTAGAGAAAGAGGTATGGCCGGCGCGGTGCATGTAGAGGAGCAAAGCTCAAAGAAAACAGGGGCACTACACTATATGAATATGTATTGTAAAGTTTAGTGAAATTTATTCGGACTGTCCTAGCTAGGAACTGAGAGTTTCAATCATGTGAACTGAAACGGTAGTGCCCTCCATGGACACAGCTAGCTGCTCTACCCGAATGCCGAGAGAAATCTGATTTATATCTGTGTAAAAAGCATCTAACAGTAGCAGTCAGTATACGCACACAGTGCCCAGTAGTGCCATATACACTGTGCTTCGCTGCTTCCTCAAAATGGACCTGCCGTCCTGGCATGTCGTAGGGATTCATGGCCTGGTTTATCATTGCAGCGCGGCGATCGGTGACCACGCACGGACACAACTGGCACGTATCCCGGCATGCGCCATGGCACGTCACAGGGCGGCCGTTGTCGTTTGCATCATCACTCATCACCGGCCCGTGCATGCATGCTACTCCAGCTACCCGTGTATAGGTACGCGCGATCGCATCGGATCGGATCGCGCGCGGCAGAGTGGTGAAACATCAGTAGAGGAAGCAAACATTTTCCCGCATTCAATCATGCGCACCAAACGCGAGCGCGCTGCGTGACTGCGTTGCATGCATGGTCCACGTACGTACGCGCATGACGGGCCAGCGGTTGCACGTACTCCTACATACACCGTACGCAGCTGCGCGCGGGTGATGAGACGATGGAGCTATAGCGCGTCAGAGGCAGGGTTGTGGCTGGCGCGGCCGTGTGCACAGGGGCACAGGCTAGTAGCTAGCCGGCCAGGGGCCTGATTGATGGGCACGGGACAAAAAAAAACAAAAAAAGAAAGAAAGAAAAACGGGGGCTCGTGAGCCGCGGGTGCCGACGACGTACGCCGGCCCCCGTCGCCCTCGATCCGGCCCCCGCGCGCATCGGCCTCCTCGCGCTGCGCGGCTGCGACGACCCGCCTGCACTGTGCGCGGGCTCTGGCGCTCCCCCTGATCTGATCGCGCACGCCGTCTCACGCGCGAACGCAGCATGCATGCCATGCCGCGCCATGCATGCACGCGCCCTGATGCCGCCGGTGACGCCCTGGTCGCCTCAGCTGCCGCGCGCGGCGCAGGGTCCAGGGGGCGCGGGCAGGCACAGCCTTTACTGGGACGGCGCGCGCACGTTTGATTGCCTCTCTCCACACTGTTCGCCGTCGTCGTCGTCGTCGTGCGTGTTTTGGACGCACTCGCGGTTGGTTTTGTGGAGGGAGTCGTCCCTGTCTCTCTCTGTGTCTTCCGGTGCTTTGCCTGCGACCGCTGCGTTCGTGCAGGAAGCAGAGCTACCGAGCTAGCTGTGGGAAAGTTAGCTGCGTCTCCGACAGGCTTCCTGATGATTGAACGCCCGAATTAAGCACGGCCATTCCGATCGGATGGCTCGTCTCCTAGCTGGAAACAACGCGACACGAACGCTGTAGATCTACAAGAGTAGTGCACTTAAGATCCCTGCAGTGGGCATATGTGGAACTGTGGACAGTGAAGGGAGCGGAAGATTGACGTCGCTGAACAAATCCTGATGCAGCGAGTTGGTCAGAAACTCAGCAAAAACTTGATTGAGAGCTTACCTGATTGCGACTCATCACCTCATGTGTTGTAACTACTGCTGGTCCAAATGTGGTCCTCTGCGATTTTAATTTGGGCAACCTGCCAATCTCAGATACACTTATTTTTTAACTCCACCTTTCAAACGGTGGGCGATTCAGGATCAAATGTGTGTAACAATAGGAGCACCAACTAATATACTCATAATTAAACAACCATTTGGCATTTATCCATCATCCATCAAGTGATTGATTTTGTCTTACGTACGTGTTAGGCAATTTCTTATACCAATATTCAACATCTCCCACGATTATTTTTCTTTGTTTGGTTAGTCTTACTGATATAAAGTCAAAAGTT